AACGAAAAAAATTTAATTAAATACGACTTACGACGAGTCTTAGGACGGGGGGTCAGAAAAAAAAAAACTTATTTCCTATAAAAAACCTTACTAGCTAGGGTTTTAAAACAAAGACACAGTGGGTAGTTACTTGACAAATAATTCGGTCATATGTGTCTTGCCTGCGATCATGCCCTCTCCCTTTATCTCTGTAAAAGGGAGCTTTAGCAACGACGACGGCGACGGCAACGATAACGTGAAAAAAGCAATAGGTTTATTGCGCAAAACAACAACTTTGCACGTGCATCACGCTTTTTTCTATATTTCTTTACCGTCCTTGCACGACTACGACGTGAAACTGCCTAATTGCAGGTTTTATGGAACGTAAACAAGCGACGACGAATATCTTTTTCTCTCTCTAAACTTGAGTGCGGTTGTCAAGAAATCAACCCCAGGGAAATTCGCCTACACTTGTCATTTTCAGCAAATTGGAATAAACGCAGCAAAGATTGAAAAAAAGGGAATTCAGTTTAAAGCTGACGTTTTCGCTGCCGTTGCCGTCGTCGATGCTAAAGGAGGAGGGCATGATACATTTCTTTCACAGATCACATGCAAAAAAGTCAGAATATAGACTTTTTCCTGATTGGATAGGAAATAATACGGATAATTTGCACTGTTCCGATTGGCCAAAACGCCGCCATCCGTTAATTTTTGTTGATTTCAGTCTGCATTTTGCTTGCGTAATGAGCAGTTAATACACACGCGGGTTCGTTATGATATTTCTGCCAACTCAGTTTTCTTGAATTTGAAGAATGTCTAAATAGAAATTTCATACATTGACATATTTTCCATTTCATCGTTTACTAAAAATTGCTGTCAAAAATTCGCCGATCATGTGAATGCAATTTGATACCGGCTACAAGTTACAGAAGCGACAAACGGGTTCAGTTTTAAAATAATCAATTCATGAATGGAATCTTGACCTGGTTTGACTGTAATTCCTCCTTCAGGAACCTGCGAATTAGTCTGAGCGATCTTCGCTTTCACAACACTTTTCAGTTTGTGAAATATGATGCTCGAACCTTATTTTTTTTCACTGCTTTCGCCACAGAACGAAGTCAACGAGCTTGTAAATTCTTTATTATTTGTAGCGGTTAAATGAAGGTAAGGCAGCTCCAGCCAGCAGTGTTTCATCACACACACACAAAAAAACATTTAAATTTTTTTTTGGGAAGCGCCATCTGCACGTACTTAAAAATTTTTTCTTCTCTACAATTGATTTCGGCGAAAGAGACATTATTCCCACCAAAATTTGATTCCCTTCTGGTAACCGCTGATTGGCTAATAACATGACAGGTCAAGCGGACGTTAGATTATGTAAATTAGGGGGCGGTTGATGGCTTGTTAAATGAATGTATCAGGCGTTATTTTTTTCCCTCTCGCGCCAAAGAAGCAAAGAAGCATAAAAAAAAAAAAATAATAATAATACTAATAATAATAACGCCTGATCTCAGGCTATATGTGTCAGACTTGACCATTTGCAAACGATCAGAAGGTTTAAAACATCCATTGTAGTCTCATCTTAATGAAACCAGCCAACACCAGGTGGCAATTCAATGAGCAATCATGTTCCAAAAAAGCAATATATGTCTTAAGCTACTATCAACTCGGAAAGTATGTTTCAATTTCATTTTATTAAAAAAGTATTCAAGAACAATATACTATGCTTAATTAACTTAATGGATGGTGGTATTAAATTCATCCGAGGCAGCTATCAAAACGTGACTCATATTATCTCTAGTTTTGTTAGTTTAATATAAAGAAAGTTCATCATTGCTCGCAATTTAATGCGCATTTTTAAATAAACAAGAAGATACTTTCTCCCTCCATTAAAACATAAAGTTGTACTCATAGCATCCGAAATATTCACTTGTTTGGAATTAAAACTATATCTTACTATAGCCCAGGCCTCCTGCTAGAGCCCGTAATTCAGAATTATGATGACGTCCTCATCACTCAGTAATTTGAATATATTTTCATTTAAACCGAAACGCGATAGGTCGGACTAAGTGTTGAAGTTCGTCGGTCAAAAAGGAAGAGATTGAAACTACTGAAGCAATATTAGAGTGAAGCGATTTTCGTATGATCTTGAAAAATGGCTTCGGTAAGTGTTCGTTATTTGTTTTATCAGCCAATGGATGAAAGGATCAAAACATGACCTCTTCGTTTTCCCGCCAAAGAAAACCCTAATATGGAGAAGGCATTGTTCGATTAGCCAATCGTGTTGAAGCATGACCTCAAACCGAAGTATCGATTGATTTCTAGAAAGTTCTCGGGTGTGAAGTTTTTTCACCCGAGCGTTCGCTTAACCAACCAAAAGGCACGCAGGTTTGTATCCGTTCGATAAACCAATCAAATCGCCCTATTTTCGTTTGTTTGTTGTTTCTGTTTAGTTCGCGCGTTTTCGTTTCAAGGTCACACGAAAATTGCTCTATTAACAGCAGCTGGTTGCAATCAATCGCTAATACAAAGTCATACACAAAGAAAGAGTTTAACGATGGTTTATAGGAAAAACCGACTATCATGTTGGAGACCAATCCAATGTATTTACTGGACCCATTCAAATCATATAGGGCAGACCTTTTGATAAACAACGATCTATGACGAGTCACAGGGAGGAGTTGAGATAAGAAACTTATTACCCATTAAAAAAAACTTACTAGCTAGGGTGTTAAACAAAGACACAGTAGGTAGTTACTTAAACAAATCATCCTGTCTTGGACTGTCTTGTGTGTCAAAGTTTAATCAGTAGCAAATGATCAGAATGTTTAAAATATCCATTGTAGCCTCAACTTTCTGACACCAGCCAACACGACGTGGCAATTCGAGGAGTAATCATTTTGCAAAAAGCAATATATGCCTTGAACGACAATCAACTATTTCTCAATTTCATTTTATTGAAAGTGTATCGAAAACCAAATAAACAAAAAAACTCGCTTATTTCCTTGTAAAATATCTTCTTATACAAGTATACGTGAGGAAGTGGCAAAATGGTTTTTCGGATAAAACTGATGTAACAATAATTAGCCCCACCCCCCTCCCTGACAAATGATAAATGTAGGTAGTAAAAACGTGAGACTTTATTGCCTTTATTGGTTGGCACATTTATTGGTGGACCCAGAAATTACGTTGTGGCCCAAAAAAAAAAAAAAACTTTAGTGAGTATGAAGTGTGTATGTATTGTGTTTTTCATTGCGGTTAAAAGTTGCTAAATGACAAAAGCATACTTTTCTTACCTACCCTCCCTTGAAACAGAAATTGTGGAGGAACTTTCATGATTATGAAAGAGCGCTCGTAACCGCCGAACAGGAAAATTAGTGTGTCGCAGAAAACACATGTTAGTTTAAGAGTAGTGGAAATATGGAGTGTTTTCACATGACGTCACGGCGGCCATATTGGTGTCCCAAAACAATGAAACGGCGGCCATGTTGGTGTCCCAAACCAATCCTCTGAGAGTTGAACTCTTCTCTTATGCAAACGCTTTCTTTTGTTCCAATAAATTTGCATATAGCTGGCCACGTGAGTGAAAACACTCTATACGATTTGTAATTTTTTTTTTCATTTTCACGTTGTTACTGTTGTTCTGTTATATATCATTGGTTACAATAATTACTTTTTTGGACTCGCTCGTTCTAAATGCCTACGGAAACATTAAGTACGGTCTCGTACAAAGTTTGAACTTTATTGTAAGGCCTACTGTGGGACCTTAACTCGCCGCGAGATTGTGCGAGCTAGTGCGATCGAGTTAAGGCGAAATAAGGACAAATTGAGCTCGCCTATCAGTTGCGAGTTTGTGCGAGTTAAGGCGAGTTAAGAAGAGTTAGGGGAAAATGATCCACCTTATTTTGAGGTTATAAGGGTTAAAACTTATAATATGCTTTAGTAAACGCACGTACCGACAGTTGCTTGCAAGACGTTGAACTGGGACATGAGGAAACTGTGTACTTAGGTTCAACCCTGGGCCTTATATTTAATTGTTTCGTCAAACATTATCGTTCTAAGTTTTTAATCTCAGAGCAAGAAGCTCTTTGCTTGATATTGGAGCCATATTATGACTGCTTTCTGGTTCCGTAATATGTTATTTTAGTATTATGATGTCATTTAGCTATCGATCAATTGTTCCAATCGGTTGCGCTGCGAGGAGAGCTCTTTCTTCCCCAGTCTAAAACTTTCAAATGTTGTGATCTTATTAGTAATTTCTGGACTCGGCAAATTAAAAAAACCCTGATTAAATGGTATATTTTTACCATTCTTCAAAACATTTTAACTTTTTCACGTGATCTTTATTGATATGAATCAGTTACAAGTATTGTAATATATATTCTCAACAGTATAAACTACTAGTTTTCTTCTCTCTCAACAAATAGGCTGTGTTGTTCTTCTTATCATTATTATCGTTATTATTTTTATTATCATAATTATTATTATTGTTATGTGTTGTTGTTGTTGTTGTTATATCGGTAAATCTTTTTGCCACTCTTGATACATTCAGTATGGAAGATTTATTGACATAGTTTTGATTTCTCTCCTCTTTAGTTAGTTTTCCTTATTGGATGCACTATGGTTAACAAATCTAGTAAACTTCTTAAGACACTTTACTGTACACAGAACTTTTTGCCCATGAAAATTTGGAAACTCGGCCCTCTAATTATCACGTCACTCGTAATTCGTCCTAAACCACCTAGCTTTTTCTTTTTGCCTTCTTTCTGACTTTGATAAATAGTACTTCCAGAGTTTCCCGTTATTTGTTAATTATTCCAAAGCAAACTGAAATCTCATGAACTTATACTCACTAGATCAAATATTTCTCCCTTTGCCTTCAAACAGAGAGTACAAGAGGTTTCAGTTCCCTTTTATACTCAGTGTCATTTTTTCCAACTGTATCGCTGGAAAGCTAATATTTTCACCATGCACTCAGAGAGAAAAAGGCCGATTAAGTTATTCTCAGTTAGATCCTTTCTTTAGTGCGGGCCAATCGCGAAAATATTTCGAAGTATATCCATAACAGTTTGTCGAATGTGTCTCATCTTCCAGCAGTAGATCAAGGGATTGAGGGATGAATTGAGATACACAAGAGTGAATGTTAAATACGATAAATGAGATAACAAAGGAGTTTCACCATTTGTCTTGGCGGCAAAAACAACACAAGATAATGGCAAATAGCAAACTAAGTAGACCAAATAAACGTAGAAGGTAGCCAGTGAAGATTTTTTCAGCCTTGCGGCATTTGCCATATCTTCATTCTGTGTCGCCTGTTGCACTTGCAGAGCGTGAATCTGATTTGCGTGGTGTCTCACGGAAGCGTATATCTTGCAATAAAGCAATCCTGTAGTTACGACACAAACAACTACAATGACCGCTGGCATAATATCATAATCATACAACTGATGTAGGACGGAAATTGATGCACTAAACACCCAGACTGAGATCACAACAGCAACAACACGTTTGTGAGTCACAAGCTCCTGATATCTGAGATGAAGATAAATGGCCAAGAATCTGTCCACAGCTAATGCCAAAACACCGAAATGCGAAGCAGAGGCCAATGTTTTTCCCTGGATTAAATACGCTTCGTTTACTGTATCATAAGCAGTACTGTTTGTGTTTTGTTTTATTTTCATCACAAGAATTGCAACATACAGTGGTTGGACAAGTAAGCCTATACCCAGATCAGACACAGCCAGGCTTAGTAGCAATGTTTTTAAAGTCTTAGGCAACGACGACGTTTTTCTGAGCGCTTGCATTGTTATGATGTTTAATACGATGGCGGTGAAAGACAAGAAGGCGTTGAAGAAGCAGTTAATAACGACAAATGTGAAATTCAAGTCTTCAGCACTTGCCATCTTTTTTTTTACATAACCCTAATCAGTGTTCAGTTTCTAAAATATGCAAAGAATTTCATTGCTTTCTAGGTTTTATCCGTTTTTGAATGAGACTGACCTTCAGCTTCCACCATTGAATGGAGCGTTATATACAGTCTTAAGTTTCAGCAGCTGTGTAGAACGTTTGAGGAACTCTGCAAGTGTTTTCTTTTTCGTACGAGACTGACGCTGGAAATTACTCTTTACGAGACTTACTGAATATTCTCCAGACTTCCTTCTCCGATGGCAATTGGTTTTTATTGAGTACTGTTGAGTCTTCCGCGACAGTAGTAAACAAGGTCCTTAAGTCGTGCTCACAATATCCAAACTCTCACCTTGCTTGAAATTGAAACTTTGCATGTGTGAACCCGGAATTAAAACTTTAAATGTAACGTCATCATCACACAGTAATTAGTATTAATTTTCTTTCAAACGAAGCGCAATAGGTTGTATAAATGTTGAAGTTCGTCAGTTAAAAAGGAAGGAAGTTATATGAAACTACTTACGCAATATTAAATAAGCAAAGGCAGTTGGTTTTCAATTATGAATCGCAAACATATAGTCAGACAGAACGAGCTGAGAGGTGACTTGAGAGGAAAACGGAATTTTTACGGCGCAAACCAATCCAACAGTATTTGCTGGGCCCATGAACACATTTTTTGATAAACTGCATGTTTACGGGTGACTTAAAGAGTGTGAGGCGGCCTAAGACACAGTACCCTAGTTACTTAACTGTAAATAATCAGAACACCCGTTGGTACATGACGTGGCAATCCGATGAGTAACCACGTGTCAAAAAATAACTGCCTTAAATTGCAATCGAATACAAAAAAATCAACTTGCACTAGTATCCTTTATTAACTTTAAGGCAGCTAATAAGATGTAAGTCGTATCATATAGCTTCAGTTTCTTCAGTTTAAAACACACAGGCTGAATATTCTTATTTTTTTCTGCCGATTTTAGGATGAAAATATTCTTATATTATTCTTAGGATAAAGTTCGTCAGTCAAATGGAAGTAAGTTATTCGAAACTATTGGCGCGATATCAAAGTAGAAATGGCAGCTGGTTTGCGGTGAATCGTAAACACAAAGTCAAACAGAAAAGAGTTAAACGATGGTTTAGACCGTGGGGGGGACTCCGCATATGAAAGGGGTGGGGATGTTCGTCGTCTCGCTTAGGGGTGTACATTTCGGATTTTAGTCTCACTTAGGGTATTCTGGGCAAAACGCCATCATATTTAGTCGTGAAGGTCTCGTTTAGGGTTGCACGCGAAAAATATAAAAATACATATATTGTCTGTGTTTTAACATGGTCTCTTTTAGGGGTCAAAAAAAGCTTGAGCCACCCCCAGATCGGTCTCCTTTAGGAGTTTAATTCAAAATTTCCGACGAGCATCCCCACCCCTTTCATATGCAGATTCCCCCCACCGGGGGCTTAGAGGAAACGCGGATTATTAGGTCTGAGACCAATCCTACATGTTTGCTGGACTCAAGCGAAACAAACGCACATTTTTTTTGGTAGGTAGATAGATAGATAGATAGATAGATAGATAGATAGATAGATAGATAGATAGATAGATTATTAAAAATAAATACATGGGCAGCCAGAGGCTGAATTACGTATTCACAAATAAAAATAAGCTAAAAATAGAATAATTTACCATACATCAATATTAAAAATATTAAAATATAAAAATTCAAAATAAAAGTGTTCTTAAAACGGTCCGTCTTCCACTTTGGAAGTGCACAGTGTCGGTGATTTCTTAATAAATATGGAGCCTTATTGGCTTCAGTTAATAACTTGTTATGTTTGTTATCCTTGTTGCCGAGGGCAGCGTTAAAAACCTTGTCACATATGTCCTCGCAATAACAAATAATGGTCGGAATACCAGTTTCATTAAGTGCCTCGTCATAAGACAGACTGGGGCAAATGATTGATAACGCCCTTCTGTTTTAGTAACCGTGACAAACGAGTCTCTTGACATGAAAGAAGGAACTTGTTCCCCGTAAAAAAAATTACTAGCTAAGCTTTTAAAACATAGACCAGCACAGTAGTTAGTTAGTCTCGCTTGTGTGCGCGCCAAAAGGGGAATCATGGTCCCAGGCGTTACTAGCGGAGATCGTGAAAACTGAGGATGGGAATTGCTACGAGTCACAGCGCCATGCTCTATTTTGTGAAGAAAGCTTAGGAAAGATTGATGCAGAGATGTTGAGCTTCCCGGGAACGGGTCGGTCCACGAATTCTACTGCTTGAAAGCGTTGATTACTTTTGAACAAGTGAATGCTTCAGTGAAAACTATAAGGCTATAAACTGGTCAGGCGTTGTAAACTTTCATGATATGAAAATGAGTCTTGTGATGAGCATGCGGTTTATTTTTGGCGATGATTGAAATGACGTGCCATGTTCATCACGTTTTTACTTTCTAGCAATGATTTGTATTTGTACACGCGTATATTCTGAAGAAAATATTCATTAAATATTCTGAATTTATTAAATTTTCTGAAGAACACTCGACCGTCGATAAAGTGGGAAGAGAAACCTTTTAGCGAAGAAATCCTGCCTCGTGTGGAATTAATCGCCTCCTTATCTCTTATCTAATCTCCAAGCAAGACCTGAGCTTTTAAGAGCGTTCTTGTTGTACGTTAATCCAGGGAACATATTACATGATGACTAAAGGCTTGGTTATCAACATGGTGGTATTGCGTGTTATAAATGTCAACGATCGTTTACGAAAGGGAAATAGGCTTCGGCAAGGCTGAAGACTTATATATCTTTTGCCGTTGTAAAGTGCTTGAGCAATGCCGTGACTTTACGCTCGCAATAGATATTAAATTATGTTCATTGAACCAATGTTTAATAATGGTAATTGAACTGAGTGGAGTGCAATTTGGTCTGAAATCATACGCGTGATTTGAAATCGCAAGTATGATTTCAGACCAAAATTGCACTCCACTCAGTTCAATTACCACTTTATTACATCCATTTTGAAATTGCAGAATTTTGTCAGTACTAATATTTTACTGATCGAGTAGCCAGTTTGTTAAAAAGCCGAAACAAAAAGGCTTTTACACCTCATTTTGTATTCGAAACAGAAATGATGCGAAAAAAACAAAAACGGTGCGATTTAAAACAGAAATGATGCAATTTAGAACATGAATAACGCGATTTGGAACAGATACGATTTAGAGCAAAAAATGGTGCGATTTAGGAATAAATCACACTGCTGAGAGCCAATCAGATTGCACGGATAGCCAGTGATTTCAAAGTGGATGCAATAAAGGTTGAAATCTGTGATTCCGTAACTTTTGCTCAGCGGATAGTCCCTATAACGTTTTAACATTTTTCTTGCAGACAAATTCAGATCAGGCAAAAAACGTCCTTGAAATCTCTGAAAATCTTCATGCCCCAATAGAAGGTTAAGGTTCTACAAGGCTAGCTGTGCATAAACAAAGCTTTTTAAATCTCCTGAGACAAAATGGCTGCCGCGTGACAAAGGTCTGTTTTGGCGTTTTTGACGTCTTGGTTCACCACAAACATTTTTGACGAAGCTCTCGCGCCCGCAGCGGTGCACCATGGGTAAGAATTTTGGTTCACTGTGCATAAATAATCACGTGAGCGTACGCACGTGCTTGCGCACCACAGGCATACCAATGTAAAATAACTCAATCAACAGATATGGCAAATGCAACACGGGGTTTTTCGGCGGGAAAGCTTAAGTGCACCCCGACTTTTTAGAGAGAGAAAGTCCATCCGGACTTAGAAGAGAGAAAAACCAACAACAAAGTCAAGTCCGACTAAATTTTAAAATCTTCAATGACGACGACAACAGAGCTAAAGCGTTAGACAAAAAACAAGAGACAAATTTCGTTGGAGGAAAAACAGAGAAATTGGCGGTGAGAAAATGAGAAAAGGCAACCAACAAGGTGAAAATGAGCGACAGTGTAGAAAAAAAAGTGAACAGGAACACGAAAAAACATCGGTGAGCACATACGACATTTTCCAACATAAAATGAGCTAGGAAGTTTCACATTGTAGTCGTGCAAAACAACGTCAAAGAAATGTACAAAAAGGGTGCTGCGCTCTTGCAAGGTTGTTGGTTTTTTTTGCTAATAGAGAGGAGAAGTCTTACGTCACGTTGCCACAGTAGCAAAATTTTTGGATCAGACAACAAACCCGACGTCACTTAACTAAGTAAATTCGCGCTGTTTCAAATTGCATCGAACTTATTCAGTTTCATTTACTATGTTAAATGTTGACAAAATTCTCTGGGGTTGAATCCGAAAGGACCGTATCTGTGTTTAGAAAAAGAAAAGGAAATTAGGAAATTAGGAAGTTCCATGTCGCAGTCGCGTAACGACGGCTAAGAAATGTAGCTAGAAAAAACCGTGATGCACGTGCAAAGTTGTTGTTTTGCCAGACCTATCGCTTTTTTGCCGTTCTCGTTGTTTTCGCCGTCGTCCTTGCTTAAGCTCTTCATTTTTGTCATCCAGATTTTTTGCCAATTTTGGGAGCTGCTGGCTGAGAACCGCACGTCAGTTCTCCCACGCATGCGCGGAGAAGGCAGACGAGGAGTTACCCCTTGCTTTTAGTTTGTCCACGTGACACTCCCAATATCTGACGCAAATTCTCGCACACTAGTCCCGATTTGCTGATACGGTCAGGACAAGTAAAAAAATATTGCGAGCGGGCGCAAGAAGAGTGTAGTAAATTCTTTTTACTTGAAAGAGCGCCACGGCGCTTATTGTTTTTCGACTTTAACCAGTGCGAAAGTTATTTGAGGGCTGTGCTCTTTGAAATAAATCACAGCAATAGAATTGTGTTTTTCGAAAGGGTGCCGGTAGCCTGCGAAGCAGGCGTTAGGAAGTAAATGGGCGCAAGAAAGAACGGGCGCGCGCGAGTGCGCGCACCCTCTCCCTTCGAGTGTTTCCTTCTCGCGCGCGCGTTTTTTCTTGCACCCATTTAATTTATTTCCTAGCGCCTGCTACAAAGGCTAGGGTGCGGCGGAACTTATTTGTGTCCGACTTTAATTTAAAGCGGTACTCTTTCGAGAAATATATGGTTTTGATAGCATTTTAGGTTTCTATTACATTTGTGGCCAATTTTTTCTATATTTGTGGTCAATTATTACATTTGTCACTTCAACAGTACCCCTTTCGTTTGCCTTCTATTGATAACTGGTACTCCTTTGACATACCTAGTTTAGAACTTTTTATCCCTTCGAACTGCTGTAAATGCACTGTCTTTTAAATGTGAACAAATCAGAAAGCCAGAAAGCTTTCTCGCGTCGACTCTCTCACAGACATAATGCATCTTTCAGCTCTTTTGGGCCTTGTTACGGACCGAAATGACAAATCTCCCTACCATTTCATTTACTTCAACTAGTGAAATCCTTACCCTTTCATATACCTGAGGCATGAAAAAGGTACCCTTTTCGGGCTGAGCCTTCCCGCATTGGTCATTAGAGGGACTAATTAACCCCCAGCCAGACAGACGATACGCGATACAAAGGAATTAGGCAATGGACCATTTTGTTTCAGGAGATTTAAAAACCTTTGTTAAAAAGCCTCGTTCTCTCTACGAGGCTAGCTGTGCATAAGCAAAGCTTTTTAAATCTCCTGAGACAAAATGGCTGTCGCGTGACATAAATCTATTTTGGCGTTTTGAACGCCTTGGTTCACCACAAACATTTTTGGCAAAGCTCTCTCGCGCGCAGCAGAAATACAGAAATACAGTGAAATCTGCATTAATGCAGTTGTGGCTACCCGTATATTTACGATACCTTCTCCAAAGTTTAAACCATCCCTGAACGTGTAAATTAACTCTGTTCTTAGCGGAGCGCGCGCTTGCGGAGCCCCATAGCTAAGTAAATCTACCCATCCTAGTTAATTTGCTAATCACGTGACCGTACATCGCCCGACCGAGCAACCGACCGTCTGTCCGCACCACAGGCATACCAGTGTAAAATAAGTCAATCAACAGGTATGGCAACCCAAATGCAACTCTACGTTATTTGGGCGGGAAATCGCATAGCCACCCGAGTCTTGTAAAGCAGAGACAACTAAAGAGTCAATAAAGACGAAAACGGAAAGCAGAAATTGTTTCTGTATCCGTGTTGTCTGAAGTATTATAATATTTTTCCAAATTTTTGGACATGACAATTAATCTGAGCTTAAAAGCTTAGATTAATTGAATTGTCATTCCCAAAAATTGGGAAAGTAGAGCAAGAGAAAGACAGAGAAAAAGAGAAAGTAGGCGGCATGCCAGCGAAGTTCAACAAGAAAAAGGGCGACAGAGATCTAGAGCGAGAGATAAACAACAAAGGAGACATTTTTTTGTTACCAGAACAACATGACAATTTTGTAGCTCCAGTGAGAAAATAAGAAATGCTAGCGGCCACCAATCCAAGGTGAAAATGAGCGGCAATGAAAAAAAATTGAGCTAGAACACGTACGACATTTCCTCCATAAAGCGTGTAACTAAGAAGTTTGTGGAAGTTTGACGTTGTAGTCGTTCAAAACAGCGGCAAAGAAATGTACAAAAAAAGTGTGCTGCTCGTGCAAAGTTGCTTTTTTGCTAATTAGACCTATTGTTGTTTTTCACCGTTCTCCGGCATTCCCTTCGCAGCTTAGCATTACTCGAGTTTATATATTTTTTGAACAAACTATAAATATGAAAAAACAAAGAAAAACAAGATATACATGTAAAATGTAGCAACAGCAGTTTTTCTCAGCCTTGCGGCATTATATTTGCCATGTCTCCATTCTGAGCTACTTGGTCAGGTACTTGCTGAGCGCGAATCTGGTTGTGTGGTGTCTTACGGCTGCGCATATCTTGCAATAAAGCAATCCTGTAGTTATGATACAAACAACTGACATCACAAGAAAAACACTTATCGATTCATACCAGAAGCAAGCAATTACACTGAACACCCAGAATGAGATCACTACAGCAACTACCCGTTTGTGAGTCACAAGTTTCGGGTATCTGAGATTGTGAAGATGAATGGCCAAGAATCTGTCAACGGTTATCGCGAAAACACCAAAAAATGAGGCAAAAACAAGTAAGCTGTGAGGGATGGCATATGCTTTAACAACAGCCCAATAAGCAATAATGTTGTCAGTCTTTGTACTGTTTTTAGTTATTTCCATCGTAAGATATGCAACATAAAGTGGCTGGATAAGAAAACCTACACCTCGATCAGAAATACACAGGCTTACAAGCAACGACTTAAACGTCTCAGACGTCTTAGACTTACTCTTGACTAGTATAAATACAGCCAATGGTATAAGAGAGTCCCTGAAACGCACTCATAACATCTAAAATTTCAGCTTATCTGAAATTAAAACTGTCTGTGCAATGCTCGGGGTTCTTCTCATTCCACAGAAATTTGAACATATCTTTCTTTTAACAGAAACGCGAAAGGTCGAACTTTGTAGGTGTTGAGAGTTCGTCAGTCAAATGGAAGAAAGTTATTTGAGCTACTGACGCAATATTAAATTAGAAAAGGCACTTGGTTTGCAAAGGATCGCAAATAAACAGTCAAACAGAAAGAGTTTAGTGATAGTTTATAGGAAAAACAGACTGTTAGGTCGTACACAAGAGAGAGGATAAAGGGGACAGAGAAGGCATCCCCCATACACACCCTATTCCATAGGTAATTCGTCTCGAGTTATTTTTAGAATCGGGATAAAGTTACCTTGCGCGAGGCGTGGATGTTTCTTGGGGTTTCGCATGACTAAACGCCGTGCAAAACATGTCGGGCTTAAGGCAATGAAAGCGTAAAAAGATCGAGAGCATTCCTGAATATTGAAGCGAAATGAGTCGGGGCTCACCTGGGAAAAAGGAGTCGCTGGACTCTTTGACAACCCGTGAAATCAGTTTAACTCGAAGTTGTCGTAACCTCAGTGCTTTAATAAAATGAGAAATTTCGCCGGTCTATTGAAACCGGTCGTTTGTACAAAAGGGAGTTTAAGATCCAACGAGGCTGACGACAACTAGAACGTCAAAAAAAAAAAAAAAAGGTTTAATTAGCAACACAACAACTTCGCACGTGCAACACACGTTTTTGTTCATTTCTTTCCCGTTTTTGCACGACTACGACACGAAAATGCCTAATTTCGCGTTTTATGGAGGACGTAAACAAGCAACGACGAAATTTTATTTCTCTTTCTGAGCTTGAATATGGTCCCTTGAAATTCAGCTTAAGGAGGGTTCGCCTACAATTGACAAAGTAAGTGGGTAGGAATAATCGCTATGAAGACTGAAAAAACTCAAATTCACTTTTTAAGCGACGTTCTTGTCGCCGTCGCGCCGTTGGATCTTAAAGTCCCTAATAAGGCAAGTAGGACGCCAAGTGTTATTTTTGTTGAATAATAAAAGACTAACAAAGGAATAAATATCAAACCAGAAATTGTTCTCTTCAAACTGTAAATTATTAAATGATCCTGAGAGAATGTTCAGTGTGGTAAGGATTTCCCCGCTGTACTGTTAGCTCTATACAAGAGAGGAAGGGCCATTCTTTTTTAATTTCCGTTTCGCTGACACAGCTTTCGCAGAAATCTCGCTGTAGTCGTTTTCGTCGACAAAAGGAATAGCAAAATCGCTCTCCGCGTCTTCCCCCATTTTGTTCTGCGTCATTTCGTGAAGGACGCGTGGCTCTCAGCATGGGTCATCCACGCGGAACACATTCGCGCTATGTGATTGCCTGTTGTCTAATCCCCCTTGAGATCTGTGATGTTAAAAATAACTCGAGACGAATTACCGATGGAATAGGGTGTGTATGGGGGATGCCTTCTCTGTCCCCTTTATCCTCTCTTGGTCGGACACCCATCCAACTTGTTTGCTGAACTCAAGTAAAAACTATAAAAACGAACAAATTTTAATTAAATACGACTTACGACGAGTCTTAGGACTGGGGGTTGAGAAAAAAAAACCTTACTACCTAGGGTTTTAAAACAAAGCCACAGTGGGTAGTAACTTGACAAATCATTCGGTCATACGTGTCTAGCCTGAGATCATGCCTTCTCCCTTGATCTCTGTAATCTGTTTTCGGAAGGAGGGCATGATACATTTCTTTCACAGGTCACATGCAAAAAAGCCAGAATCTAGAGTTGTTCCTCATTGGATAGGAAACAATACGGACGATCTGCGCTGTTCCGATTGCCAAAACGCCGCCATCCGTTAGTTGTTGTTGATTTCCGTCTGCATTTTGCTTGCGTAATGAGCAGTTAATACACACGCGAGTTCGTTATGAAATTTCTGCCAACTCAGTATCCTTAAATTTAAAGAATGTCTAAATAGAAATTTCATACATTGAAATATTTTCCATTTCATCGTTTACTAAAAATTCCTGTCAAAAATTCGCCGATCATTTGAATGTAATTTGATACCGGCTACAAGTTACAGAAGCGACAAACGGGTTCACGTTTCAAATAATCAATTCATGAATGGAATCTCGACCTGGTTTGACTGTAGTTCCTCCTTCAGAAACCTGCGAATTAGTCTGAGCGATCTTCGCTTTCACAGCACTGTGCTGTGAAATATGATGCTCCAGCCTAATTTTGTTTTCACTGCTTTCGCCACAGAACGAAGTCAACGAGCTTGTAAATTCTTTATTATTTGTAGGCGTTAAATGAAGGTAAAAAAAAGTATTTAAATTTTTTTTTTAGGAAGCGCCATCTGCAGGTACTTAAAAATTGTCTCTTCACTAAAATTGATTTCGGCGAAAGAGACATTATTCCCACCAACATTTATTCCCGTCTGGTAACCGCTGATTGGCTAATAACATGACAGGTCAAGCGGAAGTTAGATTATGTAAATTAGGGAAAGTTCATTTAATATGACAAGGGGGGAGGATGAAGATAATGAAACTCGAAGCTTGAAATTTTAGCAGCCCTTCTCGCTAGCGGTTCAATTTTTTAGGAGCCCCCTCCTTGGTAGTCGAAAAAATTTCAGACCCCCCCCCCCCTCCTCCTTCAATTCCTTTGCTCCCCTGAAAAAAGATCGCTAGACTGTATTAAATATATTTACCGTTATTGTCTTCAATGGTTTATACTATGACAAACTTGAGATACAGTTGTGATACAATTTTCTAAAGCATTTTTGGGATGAACAAGAGTGTAATAATTACTGAGACTACATTTGTTATATCTGTAAACCACGTGATATACTGAGTTGCACAGGTCATTAAATTGTTGAGTTGAAACCCATCCGATTTGTATGATGATGTCATGTGATGGTTTTGAGGTATACAAATTTTCGGAGACCCCCCCTCCTAGCGCAACAATTTTTTCAGAGCCCCCCCTTCGGGTGTCTAAAAATTTTCGGAGCCCTGCCTCAATATCTTCATCCCCCCCTTGTCATATTAAATGAACTTTCCCTTATGGGGCGGTTGATAGCTTGTTAAATGAATGTATCAGGCGTTATTTTTTTCCCTCTCGCGCCAAAGAAGCAAAGAAGCAAAATAATAATAATAATAATAATAATAATAATAATAATAATAATAACGCCTGATCTCAGGTTCTATGTGTCAGACTTGACCATTTGCAAACGATCAGAACGTTTAAAACATTCATTGCAGTCTCATCTTAATGAAACCAGCCAACACCAGGTGGCAATTCAATTAGTAATCATGTTCCAAAAAAGCAATATATGTCTTAAGCTACAATCAACTCGTAAAGTATGTTTCAATTTCATTTTACTAAAATAGTATTCAAGAACAATATACTGTCATGCTTTATTAACTTAATGGATGGTGGTATTAAATTCATCCGAGGCAGCTATCAAAACGTGAATCATATTATCTCCAGTTTTTTTAGTTTAATATAAAGAAAGTTCATCATTGCTCGCAATTTAATGCGCATTTAATAAACAAGACGATATTTTCTCCCTCTATTAAAACATAAAGTTGTACTCATAGCATCTGAAATATTCACTTGTTTGGAATTAAAACTACGTCTTACTAGAGCCCGTAATTCAGAATTTAAATATGACGTCCTCATCACACAGTAATTTGAATATATTTTCATTTAAACCCAAACGCGATAGGTCGAACTAAGTGTTGAAGTTCGTCGGTCAAAAAGGAAGAGATTGAAACTACTGAAGCAATATTAAAGTAGAACGATTTTCGTATGACCTTAAAAAATGGTTTCGGTAAGTGTTCGTTATTTGTTTTATCAGCCAATGGATGAAAGGATCAAAACATGACCTCTTCGTTTTCCCGCCAAAGAAAACCCTAATATGGAGAAGGCATTGTTCGATTAGCCAATCGTGTTGAAGTATGACGTCAAACCGAAGTATCGATTGATTTCTAGAAAGTTCTCGGGCGTGAACTTTTTTCACCCGAGCGTTCGCTTAACCAACCAAAAGCAACGCGGGTTTGTATCCGTTCGATAAACCAATCAAATCGCCCTATTTCGTTCGTTTGTTGATCCGGTTTGGTTCGCGCGTTTTCGTTTCAAGATCATACGAAAATCGCTTTATCAACAGCAGCTAGTTGCAATCAATCGCTAATACAAAGTCATACACAAAGAAAGAGTTTAACGATGGTTTACAGGAAACACCGACTATCACGTCGAAAACCAATCCAATGTAGACTGCAGAACAGTCGGTTTTTTTCTCAGAATTAGTTAAGAAATCGGAAAAGCGGGGAGTAAGAGTCTTACGCGCTCGAAGAGCGCCAGTCACACACACCCTTTCGGGCGTGTGAGGCGAGAGAAAGAAAAACCATCTCTCCCCAGTCTCGCTCTCTCTTTTCAGCCTTGTTCCAGACCTTTTGTTTGACTGTTCGCACGTACCTGAATACGCAAAAATACGGACTGTTTTGCCGTCTAAATCCAATGTATTTACTGGACCCATGCAAACAATATGGGGCAGACCTTTTGATAAACAACGATCTATGACGAGTCACAGGGAGGAGTTAAGATAAGAAACTTATTATCCATTAAAAAAACTTGCTAGCTAGGGTGTTAAACAAAGACACAGTAGGTAGTTACTTAAACAAATCATGCCGTCTTGGACTGTCTTGTGTGTCAAAGTTGAATCAGTAGCAAATGATCAGAATGTTTAAAATATCCATTGTAGCCTCAACTTTCTGACACCAGTCAACACGACGTGGCAATTCGATAGGTAATCGTGTTGCAAAAAGCAGAATATGCTTTAAACGACAATCAACTATTTCTCAATTTTATTGAAAATGTATCGAAAACAACATCATTGCCCCCAATTTTATGCGCACCAAATAAACAAAAAAAACTCGCTTATTTCCCTGTAAAATGTCTTCTTACACACGTATACGCGAGGAAGTGGCAAAATGGTTTTTTTTGGATAAAACTGATGTAACAATAATTAGCCTCACCCCCCTCCCTGACAAATGATAAATGTAGGTAGTAAAAACATTAGACTTTATTGTCTTTATTGGCTGGCACATTTATTAGTGGACCCAGAAGTTACATTGTAGGCCAAAAAAAAAAAAAAACTTCAGTGTGTATGAAGTGTGTATGTATTGTGTTTCTCTTTGCGGTTAAAAGTTGCCAAATGACAGGAGCATGCTTTTCTTCCCTCCCTCCCTTGAAATAGAAATTGTGGGCGAACTTTCATGATTATGAAAGAGCGCTCGTAACCACCCAACAGGAAAAATAAATGTGTCGAAGAAAACATATTGTAGTTCAAGAATAGTGGAAAATATACGATTTTGTTTTTTTTTTTTCATTTTCACGTCGTTACTGTTGTTCTGTGAGTGGTTACAATAAATACTTTTTTGGACTCGCTCTTTCTAAATATCTATGGAAACATTAAGTACGGGGTCTCGTACAAAAGTTTCAAATTTACCGCACGTACCGAGAGTTGCTTGCAAGACGTTGAACTGGGACATGAGGAAACTGAATAGGTTCATCCCTGGGCCTTACACTTAATTGTTTCGTCAAACAATATGGTTCTACGTAATCTCAGAGCAAGAAGTTCTTTGCTTGATATTGGAGCCATATTATGACTGTTTTGTGGTTCCATATCATGGTATTTTAGTATTATGATGTCATTTAGCTATCGATCATTTGTTCCAATCGGTTGCGCTGTCAGGAGAGCTCTTTCCTGATTAAATGGTATATTTTTACCATTCTTCAAAACATCTTAACTTTTTCACGTGAACTTTATTGATATGAATCAGTTACAAATATTGTAATATATATTCTCAACAGTATAAACTACTAGTTTTCGTCTTTCTCAACAAATAGGCTCGTGTTGTTCTTCTTATCATTATTTTTCTTATTAGTATTATTCTTATTATTTTTATTAATAATAATAATAATTATTATTATTATGTATTGTTGTTGTTGTTGTTATACCGGTAAATCTTTTCACCACTCTTGGTTCATTCAGTATGCAAGATTTATTGACATAGTTTTGATCTCTCTCCTCTTTAGTTAGTTTTCTTGATTGCATGCACTAATATGGCCTTAACAAAATCTAGTAAACTCACTTTACTGTACACGGAACGTTTTGCCTATGCAAATTTGGAAATTCGGCCCTCTGTTTATCAAGTCACTCGTCATTCGTCCTAAACTAGCTAGTTTTTTCTCTTTGCCCTCTTTCGGACTTTGATAAATAATACTTTCAGAGTTTCTGTTATTTGTTAATTATTGCAAAGCAAACTGAAATCTCATGAACTTATACTTGATCATATATTTATCCCTTTGCCTTCAAACAGAGAGTACAAGAGGTTTCAGTTCCCGTTTATATTTAGTGTCATTTTTCCAATAGTATTGCTGGAAAGCTAATATTTTCACCACTCAGAGAGAAAAAGGCCGATTAAGTTATTCTCAGTTAGAGCCTTTCTTTAGCGGGGACAAATCGCGAAAATATTTCGAAGTATATCCATAACAGTTTGTCGAATGTGTCTCATCTTCCAGCAGTAGATCAAGGGATTGAGGGATGAATTGAGAAACACAAGTGTCCTTGTGAAATACAATAAATGAGATAACAAGGGAGTGTCACCGTTGACGGTCTCAGAAAAAAGATAACAAGAAAGTGGCAAATAGCAAACTAAGTACACGAAATAAACGTAGAATGTAGCCAGTGAAGATTTTTTCAGCCTTGCGGCATTTGTCATATCTTCATTCTGAGTCGCCTGTTGCACTTGCAGAGCGTGAATCTGATTTGTGTGGTGTCTGACGGAAGCGTATATCTTGCAATAAAGCAATCCTGTAGTTGTGACACAAACAACTACAATGACCGCTCGCATAATACGATGACTTGGATAGGAAATTGATGCACTAAACACCCAGACTGAGATCACAACAGCAACAACTCGTTTGTGAGTCACAAGCTCCTGATATCTGAGATGAAGCTGAATGGCCAAGAATCTGTCCACAGCTATTGCAAAAACACCAAAATGCGAAGCAAAGACCAATATTTTTGCCTGGATTGAACGCGCTAACTCTACTGTAGAATAAGCAGTACTGATTTTTTCTATCACAAGAGTTGCAACATACAGTGGATGGACAAGTAAGCCTACACCCAGATCAGACACAGCCAAGCTTAGTAGCAATGTTTTTAAAGTCTTAGGCAACGACGACGTTTTTCTGAGCGCTTGCATGGTAATGATGTTTAATACGATGGCGGTGAAAGACAAGAAAGCGTTGAAGAAAACAAATGTCAAATTCAAGCCTTCAGCACTTGCCATCTTTTTTTTTTTTTTTACATAGCCCTAATCAGCGTTCAATTTCTATAATACGTAAAGATCTGAATTTCATTGCTGTCTAGGTTTCATCCGTTTTTGAATGAGACTGACCTTCAGCTTCCACCATTGAATGGAGCGTTATACACAGTCTTAAGTTTCAGCAGCCATACTTTTGACGAACTCTGCAATTTTTTTCTTTTTTGCACGAGACTGACGCTGGAAATTACTCTTTGCGAGACTTACTGAATATTCTCCAGACTTCCTCCTCCGATGGCAATTGGTTTTTAACTGAGAACTGTGGAGTTAGTAAAAAAAGTCCCTAAGTCGTGCTCACAATATCCAAACTCTCATCTTGCTTGAAATTGAAACTTTGCATGTCTGAACCCGGAGTTCAAACTTTAAATGTAACGTTATCATCACACAGTAATTAGTATTAATTTTCTTTCAAGCGAAACGCAATAGGTCGTATAATTGTTGAAGTTCGTCAGTTAAAAAGGAAGGAAGTTATATGAAACTAATGATGCAATATTAAATAAGCAAAAGGCAGTTGGGTTTCAATCATGAATCGCAAACATACAGTCAGACAGAATGAGCTGAGAGGTGACTTGAGAGGAAAACGGAATTTTTACGTCGAAAACCAATCCAACAGTATCTGCTGGACCCATGAACACATTTTCTGATGAATTGCATGCTCACGGGTGACTTAAAGAGTGTGAGGCAGCCTAAAGATACAGCACCCTAGTCACTTAATAAATCATCTGTTCCTTAATAATTAGAGCAACTAATAAGATGCAAGTCGTATTATATAGCTTCAGTTTCTTCAGTTTAAAACACACAGGCTGAATATTATGTTTTTTCTGCCGATTTTAGGCTGAAAATATTTTTGTATTATAATTCTTTAATTGTATCAGGATAAAGTTCGTCAGTCAAATGGAAGTGAGTTATTCGAAACTATTGGCGCGATATCAAAGTAGAAATGGCAGCTGGTTTGTGGTGAATCGTAAACACAAAGTCAAACAGAAAAGAGTTAAGCAATGGTTTAGAGGAAATGCAGACTATTAAGTATGAGACCAATCCTACATGTTTGCTGGACTAAAGCGAAACAAACGCACGTTTTTTTAGTAACTATGACAAACGACGAGTCTCTTGACATGAAAGAAGGAACTTGTTCCCCGTAAAAAAAATTACTAGCTAAGCTTTTAAAACATAGACCAGCACAGTAGGTAGTTAGTCTCGCTTATGTGCGCGCCAGTTGTGGACACAACTGAACACTATTTTTTCTCCTTCTAATTAGCGAAAACCTTTCAGAAACACAAAGTTTTTCAGTATCAAATGCCAATACTCTTCTGGATTTTTCCAAATTGGAAATCCACATTTTAGTTTGGAAGGCGTTAAAAGCTGACTATTAGGTCGGACACCAATCCAACGTGTTTGCTGAACTCAAGTAAAAACTATAAAAAACGCCCAAGTTTTAATTAAATACGACTTACGACGAGTCTTAGGACTGGGGGTTCAGAAAAAAAAGACATTACCTATAAAAAAAACTTACTAGCTGGGGTTTTAAAACAAAGATACAGTGGGTAGTTACTTAAAAAATCATTCGGTCATATATGTGTCAGACTTGATCAGCTGCAAACGATCAGAACGTCTAAAACACCGGCCCATTGTCTGAGTCTCAGCTTAATGAAACCAGCCAACACCAAAAGGCAATTCAATGAGTAATCATATTCCAAAAAAGTAATATATGCCTTAAACTACAATCAACTCGAGAAGCATGCTTCAATTTCATTTTATTAAGAAAGTAATCAAGGACCATATACTATGCTTTATTAACTTACTTAATGGATAGTGGTATTAAATTCATCCGAGGCAGCTATCAAAACGTGAATCATATTTATTTATCTCCAGCTTTTTAGGTTAATATAAAGAAAGTTCATCATTGCTTGCAATTTAATGCGCATTTAATAAACAAGACGATACTTTCTCCCTTCATTGACACATAAAGTTGTACTCGTAGCATCCGAAATATTCCCTTGTTTGGAATTAAAACAAGAGCAGAGCATTAAAACAGAGCCAGTAATTCATAATTTATAAAGTCCTCATCACACAGTAATTTGAATATATTTTCATTAAAACCGAAACGCGATAGTAACTAATTCACATTCGCATAAAAGCCACCTTATGCCTTTTGATGGATAAGTTATGGGTGAAAATTTTGCATAAGGCATAATGTGGGCTGATAGAGAAAATTTGCCAGCGCCGCTGAAGGGGAGGAGGGTGGGGAAACTTGCTTGCCCGTTGTAGAGTAGACTTGCGAGAAGACGGTGAATTTGTTTGCTAGGGCTTATAAAAGGCCTAGGGAATTTCCCTGGGGACCGTAAAGGACCAATAGACTGCTTCGCGGGGGAGCACACACTAATCTAGTTGATTAAATCGTCACGCGGCGGCTTTTATACGAATGAGAATAGTAACTAATTAGTAACTATATTATTCTAATGATATAAAGATACAAGACATACAATAATTACGAAATTACAGAAGAGATTATACAATTATTTGATAATGAATTCAAAATACAATAATTACAAGCGGCTAGAGGAGGGATAGAAAACTTGCAAATGTAAATGTAGTTTTAGAGGCCAACAAAACCACAAGCACATAAATAGAAACAAGAAACAAGAACTTTAAATTTTTTTTATTTCGTTTATTAACAAAAGAAAATTTTAAATTCCTTTCATTTCATTCATTAACGTATGTATATCGAGATAAGAATACTGTTTTAAAAAGATTTGAAATAAGGATTCTTTTTTTTTCATTTTTTCATTTGCCACCTTATGGCCGTGGGGTGATTAATTACAATAATGAATTCAAAATATATTATTCTAATGATGTAAAGATACGGCAAGATATACGATAATTACGAAATTACAGACGAGATTAATTACAATTATTTTGTAATGAATTCAAAATACAATAATTACAAGCGGCTAGAGGAGGGACTTGTAGGTCCGTGCACACTTCGGCCAATCTAATTTTCTATTTTTTCAACAAAAACGGAAAAAGGAAATATAACTTATCGTTATCATATTTACATATTTAAAAGTACAGAAAAAAATAGAAAAAAAGAAAATGGTCAGGAAAATTGATCATTTTTTCATTTTCCTAATTTTGAAGTCCGCTTCTTGAAAAATTCAAAAAATACTGTAAACGACGAAAAGCGATATTTTGCTATTTTTTATTTTCTTGATATTGTTAGAAAATGAGAAAAATGAAATAATCTCCGATTCTTAACTCATTTTTTTATTTTTTCCGTTTTTCGCAAAAAATAGAAAAAAGGAAAAATGAAAAAATAATATTTATTCCCACCATTTTTTCATTTTTTCCATTTTGTTCAAAAAATGAAAAAATAGAAAAATAGCGTACCTGTCGCCTAATTTTCCATAATTCCATTTTAACAATCTAATAAATTCACTTTACTGTACACAGAACTTTTTGCCCATGAAAATTTGGAAATTCGGCCCTCTATTTATCACGTCACTCCTCATTCGTCCTAAACCACCCAGCTTTTTCTTTTTGCCCTCTTTCTGACTTTGATAAATAATACTTTCAGAGTTTCCCGTTATTTGTTAATTATATTATTCCAAAGCAAACTGAAATCTCATGAACTTAAACTCACTCGATCAAGAAATATTTATCCCTTTGCCTTCAAACAGAGAGTACAAGAGGTTTCAGGTCACATTTATATTTAGTATCATTTTTCCAATTGTATTTCTAGAAAGCTAAAATTTTCACCACTCAGAGAGAAAAAGGCCGATTAAGTTATTCTCTGTTAGATCCTTTCTTTAGTGCGGGCCAGTCGCGAAAATATTTTGAAGTATATCCATAACAGTTTGTCGAATGTGTCTCATCTTCCAGCAGTAGATTAAGGGATTGAGGGATGAATTGAGATACGCAAGAGTCCTTGTGAAATAAGATAAATGAGATAACAAGGGAGTTTCACCATTGGTCTGGGCAAAAACAACACAATACAATGGCAAATAGCAAACTAAATACACGAAATAAACGTAGAATGTAGCCAGTGAAGATTTTTTCAGCCTTGCGGCATTTGCCATATCTTCATTCTGTGTCGCCTGTTGTACTTGCAGAGCGTGAATCTGATTTGTGTGGTGTCTCACGGAAGCGTATATCTTGCAATAAAGCAATCCTGTAGTTATGACACAAACAACGAAAATGACCGCTTTCATAATATAAAAACCAGACCAGTCATGTAGGATGGAAATTGATGCACTAAACACCCAGACTGAGATCACAACAGCAACAACACGTTTGTGAGTCACAAGCTCCTGATATCTGAGATGAAGCTGAATGGCCAAGAATCTGTCCACAGCTAATCCAAAAACACCAAAATGCGAAGCAAAGACCAATGTTCTTCCCTGGATTGAAAGCGCTTTCTTTACTGTATGATAAGCAGCACTGTTTGTGTTTTGTTTTATTTCCATCACAAGAATTGCAAGATACAGTGGTTGGACAAGTAAGCCTACACCCAGATCAGACACAGCCAAGCTTAGTAGCAATGTTTTTAAAGTCTTAGGCAACGACGACGTTTTTCTGAGCGCTTGCATGGTTATGATGTTTAATACGATGGCGGTGAAAGACAAGAAAGCGTTGAAGAAAACAAGTGTCAAATGCAAGCCTTCAGCACTCGCCATCTTTTTTTTTACGTAACCCTAATCTGCGTTCAGTTTCTATCATATGCAAAAAATTTCATTGCTGTCTAGGTTTCATCCGTTTTTGAATGAGACTGACCTTCAGCTTCCACCATTGAATGGAGCGTTATGTACAGTCTTAAGTTTCAGCAGCTGTGTAGAACGTTTGAGGAACTCTGCATATATTTCTTTTTTTCACGAGACTGACGCTGGAAATTACTCTTTGCGAGACTTACTGAATTTTCTCCAGTCTTCCTCCTCCGATGGCAATTGGTTTTTAACTGAGTACTGTTGAGTCTTCCGCGACAGTAGTAAAAAAAGTCATTAAGTCGTGCTCACAATATCCAAACTCTCACCTTGTTTGAAATTGAAACTTTGCATGTCTGAACCCGGAATTAAAACTTTAAATGTAACGTCATCATCACACAGTAATTAGTATTAATTTTCTTTCAAGCGAAACGCAATAGGTCGCATAAATGTTGAAGTTCGTCAGTTAAAAAGGAAGGAAGTTATATGAAACTACTGACGCAATTTTAAATAAACAAAGGCAGTTGGTTTTCAATTATGAATGGCAAATATACAATCAGACAGAACGAGCTGACAGGTAACTTAAGAGGAAAAGGGAATTTTTACGTCGCAAACCAATCCAGCAGTATTTGCTGGACCCATGAACACATTTTTTGATAAACTACATGTTCAAGAGTGACTTAAAGAGTATGAGGCGGCCTAAAGATACAGTACCCTAGCTACTTAATAAATCATCATCAATTGCAAATATTCAGAACACCCGTTTGTACATGACGTGGCAATCCGATGAGCAACCATGTGTAAAAAAGTAATATATGCCTTAAACTGCAATCGACTACAAAAAAATCAACTTACACTATAGTACCCTTTATTAACTTTAAGGCAGCTAATAAGATGTAAGTCGTATTATATAGCGTCAGTTTCTTCAGTTTAAAACACACAGGCTGAATATTCTTATTTCTTTTCCTGCCGATTTTAGGCTAAAAATATTAAATGGCAGTGAGTTATTCGAAACTATTGGAGCGATATCAAAGTAGAAATGGCAGCTGGTTTGCGGTGAATCGTAAACAGAAAGTCAGACAGAAGAGAGTTAAGCAATGGTTTAGAGGAAATGCAGACTATTAAGTATGAAACCAATCCTACATGTTTGCTGGACTCAAGCGAAACAAACGCACGTTTTTTTAGTAACTATGACAAAGGACGAGTCTCTTGACATGAGAGAAGGAACTTGTTCCCCGTTGAAAAAAAAAAATTACTAGCTAAGCTTTTAAAACATAGACCAGCAAAGTAGGTAGTTAGTCTCGTTTGTGTGCGCGCCAAAAGGGAATCATGGTCCCAGGTGTTACTAGCAGAGATCATGGAAACTGAGGATGGGAATTGCTACCTGTCACAGCGCCATGCTCTATTTTGTGAAGAAAGCTTAGGAAAGAATCATGCAGAGATGTTGAGCTTTCCCGGAACCGGTCGGTCCACGAATTCTATTGCTTGAAATCGTTGATTACTTTTGAACAAGTGAATGCTTCAGTGAAACCGTCGATGGTGAGGCTATAAACTGGTCGGGCGTTGTAAACTTTCATTGTATGAAAATGAGTCTTGTGATGAGCATGCGGTTTATTTTTGGCGATGATTAAAATGATGCGCCATGTTCATCACGTTTTTACTTTCTAGCAATGATTTGTATTTGTACACGCGTATATTCTGAAGAAAAAATTCATTAAATACTCTGAAGAATACTCGACCGTCGATAAAGTGGGAAGTGAAACCTTTTTGCAAAGAAATCCTGCTTCGTGTAGAATTAAACGCCTCCTTATCTCTTATCTAATCTCCAAGCAAGCGAGACTATGCGTGGCGTTCTTGTTGCAAGTTAATCCAGGGAGCATATTACATCATGACTAAAGGCTTGGTTACCAAGCAACATGGTGGTATCGTGTGTTATAAATGGCAACGATCGTTTACGAAAGGGAAATAGGCGTCGGCGAGGCTGAAGACTTAAACATCTTTTGCCGTTGCAAAGTGCTTGAGCAATGCCGTGACTTTACGCTCGCAATAGATATTAAATTATGTTCATTGAACCAATGTTTAAGGTTGAAAGCTGTTATTCCGTAAGTTTTGCTCAGCGGATAGTCGCTACAAAGTTTAATATTTTTCTTGCAGACAAATTCAGATCAGGCAAAAAATTTCCTTGAAATCTCTGAAAATCTTCATGCCCCAATAGAAGGTTAAGGTTCTACAAGGCTAGCTGTGCATAAACAAAGTTTTTTAAATCTCCTGAGACAAAATGGCTGCCGCGTGACAAAGGTCTATTTTGGCGTTTTTGACGTCTTGGTTCACCACAAACATTATTGGCGAAGCTCGCCCGCGCAACGGTGCACCATGGGTAAGAATTTTGGTTCACTGTGCATAAATAATCACGTGAGCGTACGCACGCCCTTCCGCACCACAGGCATATTAATGTAAAATAACTCAATCAACAGGTATGGCAAATGCAACACGGGTTTTTTGGCGGGAAACCTAGAGTCCACCCCGACTTTTTAGAGAGAGAAAGTCCATCCGGACTTAGAAGAGAGAAAAACCAACAACCAAGGGCGCGATCCATTCAACCAAAATTCCAACCGGTCCGACCGGGAAAAGAGGACCACCTCAAAAGGTGGACCCGTTTTTTCGAAACTTTTCCGGTTGGACCGAACCGATCCATTGAGTTTTGGACCGAAATTTCCGGAAAGTTTGGTTGAATGGATCGCGCCCAAAGACAAGTGCGACTAAATTTTAAAATCTTTAATGACGTCGACAACAGAGCTAAAGCGTTAGACAAAAACAAAAGACAAATTTCGAAAAACATGGAAATTGGCTGTGAGAAAATTAGAAAAAGCGGCCAACAAGGTGAAAATGAGCGGCAGTGTAGAAAAAAAAGTGAACAGGAACATGACAAAACATTGGTGAGCACATACGACATTTTCCAACATAAATGAGTTAGGAAGTTTCACATTGTAGTTGTGCAAAACAAGGTCAGCCGAAAGAAATGTACAAAAAAGTGTGCTGCGCAAGTGCAAGGTTGTTGTTGTTGTTGTTGTTTTTGCTAATAGAGAGGAGAAGTCTTTATGCCACGTTGCTACAGTAGCAAAGTTTTTGGATCAGACAACAAACCAAAAACGTCACTTAACTAAGTAAATTCGCACTGTTTCAAATTTCATCGAACATATTCAGTCTCATTTAATGTGTTAAATGTTGACAAAATTCTCTGAAAGGACTGTATCCGAGTTTAGAAAAAGAAAAAGAACATTTTTGTGCTGTGTTGACCAGCTCCATAGAGCGGGAGCGTGAAATTAGGAAGCGCAGTCGTGTAACGACGGCTAAGAAATGTAGCTAGAAAAAAGCGTGATGCACGTGCAAAGTTGCTGTATGTTTTGCTAAACCTATCGCTTTTTGCCGTTCTCGTTATTTTCGCCGTCGTCCTTGCTTAAGCCACAGGGAGCCCTTCCTTTGTTCCTGTGTCGTTATAAGTCGTTTTGGAAGGGATTTGAATCCGATCAGAGACGGTTAACATTCCTGGTTATCAAATGCGTTTGCTTGTCTGGCGCGTCGTAAATAAGACGCTCAAGTTTCGTCTCACGTTTCTAACATTGTCATGTTAACTATTAACTCTCGATCTCCTTGGGAGATGATCTGGGGTTTCAATTTAACGGTCACGAGAAGAGAAAAGAGACTCTCTCGTGGCCGTTAGAGGAAAGTTAATAGTTAACAATATTAGAAACGTGAGACGAAACTTGAGCGTCTATTTACGACGCGCCAGACAAGCAAACGCATTTGATAACCAGCAATGTTAACCGTCTCTGATCGGAACAAAGGAAATTGCCTCTTGTTATTTTATTAGCTAATACAGCGTAAATACATCTAATGTTTTTCTATTACCTAATACAGCGTTCGGGCTCCCTGTGCTTAAGCACTTCATTGCTGTCATCCAGAATTTTTGCTACCATGGCAACGTGACGTCACACTTCTCCTCTCTATTGGACCTATTTACTATTTTTTTGTCGTTTTCGTCGCCGTCGCCGTTTAGCGTTGCTTTCTGTTTCTGTTATACATGGTCCGTTCAATCTTGAAAAGGTCTTGAATTTTACTAGTCGTCTTGAAATTCTGAGTCTTTGAATTCGGTTTAGTTCCTTAAAAAATACTTGATGTCTTTATTAGGTCTTGAAAAGTCTTTGAAATTCACACTCTTGTATGCACCTTCCTTTTTCTGTAAAATTACTCGGATTATTTTACCGAGGAGAATTTGGCTTACCCTTGGTGTACAAGAACCTCTAAAACTCACGGGTATAACGTAAAAACATTTTTGTACATGAACAATATTTTATTTCTGTTTCTCTATTTCAAATGCTATTTCTTTATCTCAGATGCAACTGCAAGTCACACCTAGTCAGTCTTGTTGCGGAAAGTAGTATGGGGGTAAAAATTAATTGTAAAGGCTAGGGTTTTAGCCCGCCAGAGTGATCAAAGGGGGTTAAAGAATGCCGATTTTTAAAATAAATCTCAGTCCTTAAAAGCTGTAATTTAATTTGTCTTTGAAAAATCCGTGAAATTTGTTTGCCTGAAGTTGCAGCATTGGATCCAGGGAACGGGCCCAGGGGGCCCGGCCTCCGGATATCCTCTTGTCTTATTTTTAGAACAGACTGAAAAAAAAAAAAAAAAAACTTTTTTTGAAGACTGCCCCCCCCCTTATCTAAGGGTCTGGATGACCACCCTTCCCCCCCCCCCCCCGACCCCTTATTTCATGATCAACGTCTGTATCCGGCACTTAGTTGTACTTATATCATCTTGGTAGCTATTCTCCTGATTATCGGCCAGTTAATTGACAGATTCTCTTTTAGTGTTTTTTCCCTATCACCTTATCTTACAGTAACGGTACAAGGTAAACGTCTCATCTTGTCACTCAAAGTTCGGGGTTTGAGAAATCGCGTCAAAAGACACTAGTATTTTCAGCTTTCAAAAGATAGAAATGATTGGAAATTGCCAAAAGGCTCGATTTTCTCTTCTGCTTGCTAAAAATTACTTGTACATGAATAAGTTAGCACCTAAAGATTTAGCTCTGGATGAATTTAAGGCTAGAATCAGTTGAAGGTATGATTTCGAAAAATTAACAGGTCTAATGCTATTGTGTGAACTGCTGTGTTATTCTTTTCTGTTTTAATCTAATGTAATCATTATGGTCCAATCTGTAATATTTAGTTGTTATATACCAGTCTTTTAGTTTTAAGATTTGTAACTGTAACATGTGCATGTGGGAACGCCGCAGATTTCATATTTTCCAGTTTGTATCCGTGTTGATCTTGAGGAAACACTATTTTGGTCATTGAGCCAATCTTGGGAGCTGCTGGCTGAGAACCGCAAGGCAGTTCTCCCATGCGTACGCGGGGAAGGCAGATCAGGAGTTACCCCTTGCTTTTAGTTTGCCCACGTGACACTCCCAATAAATGATGCAAATTCTCGCACACTAGTCCCGATTTGCTGATACGGTCAGGCCAAGTAAAACAATGTTTCTCGTCCGGACAGCGAGCGAGCGGGCGCAAGAAGAGTGTATTAAATTCTGTTTACTGGAAAAGAGCGCCACGGCGCTTATTGTTTTTCGACTTTAAGTTGCGAAAGTTATTTGAGGGCTGCGCTCTTTGGATTAAATCACGGCAACAGAGTTGTGTTTTTCGAAAGGGTGCCGCGGAACTTATTTGTGTTCGACTTTAATTTAAAGCGGTACTCTTTCGAGTAATATACGGTTTTGATAGCATTTTAGGTTTCTATTACATTTGTGGCCAATTTTTACTACATTTGTAATCAATTATTTCATTTGTCACTTCAACAGTACCCCTTTCGTCTGCCTTCTATTGATAAATGGTACCCCTTCCACATACCTTGTTTAGAACTTTGTATCCCTTCGAACTGCTGTAAATGGACTGTCTTTTCATGTGAACAAATCTGAAAGCCAGAAAGTTTTCTCGCGCCGACTCTCTCACAGACATAATGCATCTTTCAGTTGTGTTGGCCTTGTTACGGACCGAAATGACAAATCTACCTACAGTTTCATTTACTTCAACTGGTGAAATCCCTACCCTTTCATATACCTGAGGCGTGAATAAGGTACCCTTTTCGGGCTGAGCCTCCCCGCATTGGTCATTACAATTAGAGGGACTAATTAACCCCCAGGCCAGACAGACGATACGCGAAAAAAAGGAATTAGGCAATGGACCTTTGTCCCACGGCGGTCATTTTGTTTCTCTCTACGAGGCTTGCTGTGCATAAACAAAGCTTTTTAAATCTCCTGAGACAAAACGGCTGCCGCGTGGCATAAATCTATTTTGGCGTTTTGAACGTCTTGGTTCACCACAAACATTTTTGACCAAGCTCTCTCGCGCGCAGCGGTGCACCGTGGGTAAGAAAATTTGGTTATCTGTGCATCAGAGAAATACATTGAAACCTGTATTAATGCAGTTTTAGCTACCTGTATATTAAGGATACCTCCTCCAAAGTTTAAACCATCCCTGAACGTGTAAATTAACTCTGTTCGTAGCGGAGCTCCATAGCTAAGTAAATCTACTGTAGCGTACTGGTCATCAAGTTGCGTTAAAAGGTATTGGCCAAAACCATAGATAGCGATCGGTGATACTTCACAAATTTATTTATCGTTTAGGCACGTAAAAACTGTAACAGAAACAACAATGAAATTATCGCGAGTCTAGCTAAGAGACTTGAACACAATGTCTTAAATAACTCGGCGATAACATGATACAAAGCAAATACGATAATCGACTAGTTCGGTAGGTAAATAAAGACTGATTTATCCGTGATTCATGCAACAATAAAAGCAAAAAATATATATTAAACGAAGAATCATACCTCTTTTCCCGATTAAAATGATTGGACCTTATAAACGTTCACATAACCGATCACGATATAGGCATAGAGCACAAAGCAGGATTACAAACGATTACACAATCATAGGGCCTCGCCCCTTAAGCTGGTGCGCATGCACCTTAGTAACGCAATACGAAGTAACGCATTCGTAACATCTACCCATCCTAAAAAATTGGGTAATCAAGTGACCGTACACAGCCCGACCGAGCAACTGACCGTCTGTCCGCACCACAGGCATACCAATGTAAAATAAGTCAATCAACAGGTATGGCAACCCAAATGGAACTCGAGGTTATTTGGGCGGAAAATCGCATAGCCACTCAAGTGTTGTAAAGCAGAGACAACTAAAGAGTCAATAAAGACGAAAACGGAAAGCAGAAATTGTTTCTGTATCCGTGTTGTCTGAAGTATTGTAATACTTCTCCAAATTTTTGGACATGACAATAAATCTAAGCTTAAAAGCTTAGATTAATTGAACTGTCATTCCCAAAAAATTGGAAAATAGAGGAAGTGAAAGACAGAAAAAAAAGAGAAACTAGGCGGCACACCAGCGAAGCTCAACGAGAAAAAGGGCGACAGAGATCTAGAGCGAGAGATAAACAAAAAAGGAGACAGTTTTTTGTTACAAGAACAACATGACAATTTTGTAGCTGCGGTGAGAAAATGAGAAATGCTAGCGGCCACCAATGCAATGTGAAAATGAGCGGCAGCGAAAAAAAAGCGAGCGAGAACACGTACGACATTTCCCCCATAAAGCGTGTAACTAAGAAGTTTGTGGAAGTTTCACGTTGTAGTCGTGCAACACAACGGCAAAGAAATGTACAAAAAAGTGTGCTGCACGTGCAAAGTTGCTTTTTTGCTAATTAGACCTATTGTTGTTTTTTACCGTTCTTCGGCGTTGCCTTCGCAGCTTCGCATTACACGAGTTTATATATTTTTTGAACGAACTATAAATATGAAAAATTAAAAACAAGATATACATGTGAAATGTAGCAACAGCAGTTTTTCTCAGCCTTGCGGCATTTGCCATGTCTCCATTCTGAGCTACTTGTTCAGGTACTTGCAGAGCGCGAATCTGGTTTGTGTTCATGCAGCTATGATGCGGAGTAGGACTGGAACTAGTTGGCCTTTGGTAGGTACTTCATGTATCTCGACCGCTGTCAAGTGTTACCGCTGTCGGGGCAAGAAAAATGGCGCCGAGCTGGAGGTAGGTTCGGAGTTTTTGCTTTATATCTTTAGATCGCTGCAATCTATAATTAGATTTGATATTTGGCGTATTTTTATGCGATATACAGAAACTAGTTAGGTGATATTTTACAGTAAGTCTTATAAGTTAAGGTGTTTCCTCGCCTTTTATGTTTATGTAGTGTCAAAATGGCCCATCGAATCGTTGAACATGTCACGTTCTATCCTGCCAGTCAAAACCAAATGATAATAAACGGCTACAAAAAATGGTTTTATAACTTTTGTTTGTGCATGCAACTTTTTAGAGTGAACTTTTATGAACCTTTAAGGTTCTTTTACTTCTGAAGTGACGACTTCATAATGGCGATGGCAAGGTTTTTGTTTTGTAAGTTGACGTTTAGCCTCAGTGTTAGTAAAATAAAAGATTTCAGTTGCCCAATTTAGCGGTTTTTCTTTTTTTTAGATACACTAAGATGGTAAATAATTTTTTTTAATTACAGAACCGCGATCCAAGAAGGTTCTGACTATTTTTAAAGTTCTACTAGAAAATTGCATTCGAATGATCTCGTGTGACAGTCTGTACATGAACCACAAATTCTGCTCCACTGCGGTATAAATCTAAAGGTTGTATTGCACAGAAACAGAAAGAAACCTATGGAGAAATTTGCTTTCAAATCCCCACAACGATTCGTCTGTAAAATTAAATCATATAATGTGTTTATTTGTTATTATAATGATTTTTTGGAGGACAACAATGAGTGCCCGCCTGAAAAGACTACTAGTCAGAACACACACTGAAAGATAAACGAGTTCATAATACCGTGAATATGAAGAAGAACATGAAGAGGTCTTAATTTGATTGCAAGTAGAGTAAATTAAGACTGCTGTGCAACATTGTATTTTTGTTGTCAGAGGCTTAAGTGTGGTGTTGCACAAACTACAGTCAGTTCTCAGATGGAAACTGTTGGGACTGGCACAAAATGTCTGTATTAATGGACAGGTGTAACTGTTATAGAGAGTAAAAGAAAATGACTGAAGAATAGTAGGGACCAACTCGATTTCCTGGAGGTGCCTTATCTTTTGATTGTACTACTGTATAATATTTCTAGCGTTATATTCTCCCTCTTAATATTATATATTGTAGGCAAGGAAACAGGAAAGCAATTTTGCATCAAGTTTGATTAAAGGGAACCTCCACTTCAACAAAAAGATAACTTTAAATCACAGGAAATAACTGTTACTGTCAAGTCAATCTAAAATATTTCTAAAGAAAGCGTTTGTATCCGAAAGAAATAACTTTTAGATTCGCCTATTTTTGTTTTCAAATTTTGCGGGTGTCGCCATCTTGAATAATTGTGAAGTGTTACGGTTGCCCTATTGTTATTAAAAAAAAGCTCTTTGTGTCAGAACTATAGAGCAACTGTAACACGTCACAATTATTCAAGATGGCGGCGCCCGCGAAATTTGAAAGTGAAAATAAGCGATTTTAAAATTCACTTTTCCTGATATAAACACTTTTTTTTAAGGACAAATTTCGAACAAATTTGTTTATCAACATAATTTTAATCGATTTAAACTTATTCTGTAGTAAGAGTGGAGGTTCCCTTTAAGCCTGGCTGCAGTTAATTAATTTAACCAAGAATGAAATTAAATCATACTGGACATGAAGTATACAAGTGTGCTAGGGTTGTTGGTCACACTAAAAAGTTTGTTTTTCAATGGTTTAATGGCTGTTACAGGCCATTTGCATTTCATTTGTGCATAATTATGTATAATTTTCTTGTTTGCAATATTCTTTTGAATTTGTATGTTATATAAATGTTTTATGTTGTTTCTGTAAGATATATATATAGCAATGTCTTGTTTCAATGTAAGACTTGTGAATGTTTAGTTTCTTTTAAGTTCCTTAGTATGTCTTGCATGGGTAGTTTTCAGTGACCATTTCATTACAAAAAGTTGTTATCGTCAAACAAAAATATTTGCTGGGCTACTTATTTGTGTTCTTGCAACCTCTTTGTTAGTTTTTCAAGGGCAGTGCATTATATTTTTTTGGCATACTTATTCGTCATTGCAAAGTAGTATTACTATACAAGATAAAAAATGATTAAAAATGATTTTATTATGTTTTAAATTTACCCGGACTTTAGTTTTCACAATCTGTCCAACTGTAATGTTCAATTTTGGAGATAACTCAATAAGGTTTTTTGTTTTTTTTTCTTGTTTGCTGAACTCAAGTAAAAACTATAAAAAAACGAAAAAATGCTCTATTAACAGCAGCTGGTTGCAATCAATCGCTAATACAAAGTCATACACAAAGAAAGAGTTAAACGATGGTTTATAGGAAAAATCGACTTTCAAGTTGGAGACCAATCCAATGTATTTACTGGACCCAAACAAAAAATATGGGGCAGACCTTTTGATAAACAACGATCTATGACGAGTCACAGGGAGGAGTCTAGATAGAAAATTTATTACCCATTAAAAAAACGCTACTTGCTAGGGTGTTGAACCTAGAAGTTACATTGTAGGCCAAAATAAAAAAAAAAACTTCAGTGTGTATGAAGTGTGCATGTATTGTATTTTTCTTTGAGGTTAAAAGTTGCTAAATGACAAGAGCATACCTTTCTTCCCTCCCTCCCTTGAAACAGAAATTGTGGAAGAACTTTCATGATTATGAAAGAGCTCTCGTAACCACCGAACAGGAAAATTAACGTGTCGGAGAGAACACATGTTAGTTTAAGAATAGTGGAAAATATACGATTTTTGTCATTTGTTTTTTTCATTTTCACGTTGTTACTTTTCTTCTGTTATACATCGTTTGTTACAATAATTACTTTTTGGACTCGCTCTTTCTAAATGCCTATAGAAACATTAGGGCCATTTATACGAGGAAAAATAAGACGCGTCTTGAATAAGACGCGAACTGTACCATTTATACGAGCATGTCTTATCTAAGACGAGAACAGCTCGTATAAATGGTTCGCGTCTTATTTCTGTTCTTGACTCGTTTTCATGTGAATGTTGCCCTTAGCAACTCCAATCCAACGTAGCGCGCCAAAAATCAACGCATGCGTACTATGCGTTCGCGTCTTATTTAAGACGCGAAGGTCATTTATACGAAGTTTTTCTCGTCTTAGCTATAAAGACGCGTCTTATCTAAGAACTGGTGTTACGGGCTGTTCTAAAATAAGACGCGTCTTAGCTAAGACGCGTCTTATTTTAGATGAAATGTGCCGTTTATACGGAAAGTTCGCGTCTTATTTAAGACGCGTCCTATGCAAGACGCGTCTTACTTTTCCTTGTATAAATGGCCCTATTAAGTACGGTCTCGTACAAGGTTTCAACTTTATTGTAAACCAACGTACCGAGAGTTGCTTGCAAGACGTTGAACAGGGACATGAGGAAACTGTGTACTTAGGTTCAACCCTGGGCCTTATACTTAATTGTTTCGTCAAACATTATGGTTTTAAGTTTTTAATCTATGAGAGCAAGAAGCTCTTTGCTTGATACTGGAGCCATATTATGACTGCTTTCTGGTTCCGTAATATGGTATTTTAGTATTATGATGTCATTTAGCTATCGATCATTTGTTCCAATCGGTTGCGCTGTGAGGAGAGCTCTTTCTCCCCCAGTCTGAAACTTTCAAATGTTGTGATCTTATTCAGTAATTTCTGGACTCGACAAATTAAAAAAAAACCCTGATTAAATGGTATATTTTTACCATTCTTCAAAACATTTTAACTTTTTCACGTGAACTTTATTGATGTGAACCAATTACAAGTATTGTAATACATATTCTCAACAGTATAAACTACTAGTTTTCTTCTCTCTCAACAAATAGTATAGGCTGTGTTGTTCTCCTTATCATTATTATTCTTATTAGCATTATTCCTATTATTTTTATTGTAATAATAATAATTATTATTATATGTTGTTGTTGTTGTCATATCGGTAAATCGTTTCGCCACTCTTGGCACATTCAGTATGGAAGATTTATTGACAGAGTTTTGATCTCTCTCCTCTTTAGTTAGTTTTCTTTATTACATGCACTATGGTTAACAAAATCTAGTAAACTTTTTAAGACACTTTACTGTACACAGAACTTTTTGCCCATGAAAATTTGGAAACTCGGCCCTCTATTTATCACGTCACTCGTCATTCGTCCTAAACCACCCAGCTTTTTCTTTTTCACTTGCCCTCTTTCTGACTTTGATAAATAATACTTTCAAAGTTTCCCGTTATTTGTTAATTATTTCAAAGCAAACTGAAATCTCATACAGTACTCACTCGATCATATATTTATACCTTGGCCTTCAAACAGAGAGTACAAGAAGGAGGGGGGCATTGGGGTATATTAGAAACCGCAAAACCGAAGAAAAAAATCATCCAAAACCGCAAAACCGCAAAAAAATTCGGCCAAAACCGAAAACCGCATACAAAACCGTCAAAAACCGATACAGTGGTGACAAGTGGGGCATACAGAGAAAACTAAACTAACACTAATTTCACCAAAGTATTTGTGAATGTCATGGACTTTGTCTGAAGCCTTCGTATCTTTTTGTGTCTGCTTAATCATAGGCTTTGTTTCTGCCGCTCTCTCGAGCCCAGACTTTGCGGCTCAATTTCCGAAAAGCCGCTAGTTATGGAGCCTAGTTAACTTAGGAGAATTTGCACACAAGTCCTCTTTAGAATTGCAATTTTGCAGTCGTAAAAAGCTATAGCCCTGGAAACTTTAATCGAAAATCTCTAATCGAACATTTCCATTTGATAACTAACACCTGAAAGTTTGGAGACTCGATTGTCTAACATGCGATTGCACTGAGCTGAGTCGACACTGAGGAAGCTAACCGGTACAATTAGTTCCTTTTCAGTTTTACATGGCAGCAGGAACTTGCTCTAAGGTTTAATGTGGTAATAAACAGATACTCAAAAAAGCAGTCGATTATTGCACCTCACTGCCCTTCCAAAAACCAAAAACCACATCGGGTACCAAAACCGAAAAACCGCTAGTATTTTTCACGAAAACTGAAAACCAGATGCTAAAAAACGAAAAATCCGCAAACCGCAATGACCACCAAAACCGAAAAACCGAAGTCTTTTGCAACAAAAACCGAAAAACCGATCTAAAAAATAGCCAAAACCGCAAAACCGAAAATCCCAATGCCCCCCTCAAGAAGGTTTCAGTTCCCTTTTATATTTAGTGTCATTTTTCCAATAGTATTGCTGGAAAGCTAATTTTTTCACCACTCAGAGAGAAAAAAGCCGATAAAGTTATTCTCAGTTAGATCCTTTCTTTAGCGGGGACAAATCGCGAAAATATTTCGAAGTATATCCATAACAGTTTGTCGAATGTGTCTCATCTTCCAGCAGTAGATCAAGGGATTGAGGGATGAATTGAGAAACACAAGTGTCCTTGTGAAATACAATAAATGAGATAACAAGGGAGTTTCACCGTTGACGGTCTTAGCAAAAAGATAACAAGAAAGTGGCAAATAGCAAACTAAGTACACGAAATAAACGTAGAATGTAGCCAGCGAAGATTTTTTCAGCCTTGCGGCATTTGTCATATCTTCATTCTGTGTCGCCTGTTGCACTTGCAGAGCGTGAATCTGATTTATGTGGTGTCTGACGGAAGCGTATATCTTGCAATAAAGCAATCCTGTAGTTGTGACACAAACAACTACAATGACGGCTCGCATAATAGGATGACTTGGATAGGAAATTGATGCACTAAACACCCAGACTGAGATCACAACAGCAACAACACGTTTGTGAGTCACAAGCTCCTGATATCTGAGATGAAGATGAATGGCCAAGAATCTGTCCACAGCTATTGCAAAAACACCAAAATTCGAAGCAAAGACCAATATTCTTGCCTGGATTGAACGCGCTAACTCTACTGTAGAATAAGCAGTACTGTTTTTTTCTATCACAAGAGTTGCAACATACAGTGGATGGACAAGTAAGCCTACACCCAGATCAGACACAGCCAAGCTTAGTAGCAATGTTTTTAAAGTCTTAGGCAACGACGACGTTTTTCTGAGCGCTTGCATGGTTATGATGTTTAATACGATGGCGGTGAAAGAAAAGAAAGCGTTGAAGAAAACAAATGTCAAATTCAAGCCTTCAGCACTTGCCATCTTTTTTTTTTTTTTACATAACCCTAATCAGCGTTCAGTTTCTATAATATGCAAAGATCTTAAGAGCGACTTTCTGTAAATACCACGGATAGGTGTGCAAGATGGAAAAATCGAAATCCCCCAAACTTTATCACAACAAAGCCCTTTGGAAACTATTTTAGAAAATACAAGACTCAGTTCGTTTGACTTGATATTTTCCAAAATAATAATTTTTTTTAATTTTCACCTTCGAGAGGCCTTCAAACCAATGAAAAATGTGCTTGATACCCTGGCTTCGTGAATGGAAACGGAAACTAATACCATGACTTCTCTTATATTAAACAATCTTATGATCCTTCCTTTCTACCTAAACGTTGTTACAATTTCAAAAGATTTCAATCTGATTTTTTAATATTTTTTCAAAATTACCCTCTAAATCAGCATTATCGCCACCATCAATTTTGCCATTTTTCAACGGCGAAAATCCCTTCCTGGTACATGGCTTTCATTCGAAAAATGGTATTCCAGAGAAAGAGCAATATTTCCCCTATCAATCTGTGAAATAAAATTCTGGGGCAATTGAAACTGCGAGTTTTTACAACTGAAAACATTTACGGTACTAGCGTGATTTACGACCTCTGAACTTGTAGGTGTATTGATGAACACAAGGGAGAACTTCGACAGCACTTGCAACTCTGGCGCAAATTCGACCCTTTTCCGCCAGTTTAAACACCAAAAACGATTTCAGATTTCACAGTGATAAATTTTCAAAAGGAAAAGCAATTTTATTGTACGAAAGTGTGCTATGAACTTCTTGACTACAACACTTCCCCTACGTGCGTATTTGTTTACTTTTGCCGTATTTGTAACAGTTATCACATATGTACAAACCGCTTTAGTGTCGGTAGCTATTCGTTAAAATGCTCTCATTTCTCATGAACCAAACCGTTATAGCTATAAAAAAGGAAAACGTTTTGACCTACCTCGCATTATTTGACAACGACCCGAATCCTTTACTGCCTTCAGCGAAACGAGATTGCGTGACAAAGAACTTTCAGACCCAGGTTATACCGCGAAGACAGATACCATTCCGAAAAAGACGCTCACGCGGCGCCTTCTGTGACTATAAAAGCAAAACATGTAAATAATCAAAATCCTCAGTTTCACTGACTTATCCGCTAGAGCGATTATGAAAACGTAAGACTAAAAAAAATATTTTCCACAAGAGACTATGAAGTGGTGGGCCCTTATAGTCCCTTACTTTCCATAAACGCCTGCTTACACATTTTGAAATACGCATATGAATTCCTTACTTGTATCCTTAGAAAAATGACATTGAGGGGAAAAAAGCGCTGATTCGTAGTCTGAAATGTCATTCGTCCCTTCCCCCCACCCCTAAGAGGCAGCAGCCCGTTTCGGGGTGGGGCGAAGAAACGCAGACTGGACAGGTCGGGGCTAGAAAACCTGCATAATTTTAGAGCACCTCTGGTGCTAAAAGCAAAGCTTTCTGTACTTCTGGAAACCTCGAGCAAGTTTTGCATTTCTGAGCAACGTTTGGGAAAAATATAGGCTTATGTCAAGCCAGAAAAAAAAAAATGTCAAGTACGACTGAACCGCGCCCGTATAAGCGCCCCTAATGACTCTGGCAGGGGGGAGGGGGGATTTTGAAATGGAGAAAAGGAGGCCTAGCTCTAAGCATACCGTCTGCGCTTTAGCTGTGAGTCTGCCTTGGAGATAAATTTCGCTTATATTTCTGAGCAAATCTTTAAAGAAGATTGCAAGCCGTATTGTTGCGTCCGTCTGAAACGCTGGAGCGGTGAAACCAGTGATCTCGCCCCTCGCACCTTGAAAAAAAACCGCTTTTTTTGAGAGAAAAAAAAGGAAGAAAGGAAACTAAAAAATAAAAAAAGAAGGAAAGGCCGTTCGCACTAACTGAAAGCTATTGTTTTTTGCATTACTATTGAAAATCTGAAAAGGAACAGTCTTACACACGTAGCCCTCGGGGCGGTACCAGGTGAATATATCACATACCCCATCGTTCCAGGTATATAACCTTTACGTAAGCGTAGGATGTAAGACACACTTGCGGATACGCGTAAGCATAACGTGAGATACCCAGGCGTAAAAGAAATAACAGTGGCGCTGCTAATGTTGGCTCCCCTCAAAAATGAAGCGTATTAACGTGGGGTTGAAAAGTGAGATATTCGGATATCTTCGGATAATTGATAGCGAGTTATTTCCAGTCCACGGACTCTCTCCTAAATTTTTCGAAAGTATTTGTTCTCTTAAAAAATCCAGAATTTCGAGATTTCTTGATGGTTTTATACATACGCTAATTATGAGATTCCTTTTCTTTTTTCCTAACGATAAGTTAAATCGGTCAAGAAAAAACAGCTTTCAGTAAGTTAAAATAAGTTTTTTGAAGGCGCGATCTTTGGTTTCATCGCTGAGCGTTCCTGACGGACCCAAATATAAGGGCTTGCAATCTCCTTTAAAGAGTTGCTCGAAACTGTGGGCCAAATTTATTGCCAAGGGAAACGTACAACTGAAAAGCAGGCGATATGCTTAGAGCTAGGCCCCCTTTACTCAATTTCAGAGTTTCCCCTCCCCACCCAGCCTCCCCCTCCCGCCGGAGTCATCAGGGGCGCTTATACGGGCGCGGTTCAGTCGTACTTGACATTTTCTATCAAACTGGTCACTTTTTCTGGCTTTACATGTGCCATAACCTACATTTTGGCAAAAGGTTGCTCAGAAATGCAAAACTTGTTCGAGTTTGCCAGAACTACAGAAAATTTAAACACAAGAGGTGCTCTAAAGTTATACAGGTTTTCTAGACCCGCCATGTCTAGTCTGAAATGTTATGCGTGTCTTCGCTCCACCCCGAAACCTGCTGCGGCCCCTTAGGGGGGTGGAGGGAAGGGACGGATGACATTTCAGACTACGACTTAGCTTTTCCCCCTCAATGTCATTTTTCTAAGAATACAAGTAGCGAATTCATAATCATATTTCAAAACAAGCGTGATGAAAACAAGAGACTACAGTGGAACTTCGATTTAACGAAGGGCCAAGGGACTAACAAAATTTCTGAGCCACCCAACGACGGTTTCCTTCTAAATTCATTGAAAACACTTTTCAGTGGCGTACCAAGAGCACTTTTAGATCTCTAGAAATGCATTCTAAGCGGCTTGTAAAATTTGTTCCCGTTCGGTCATCCTAGGGGAACTTGCATTGAGTATTTTCGAAATTACAAGGGCTTCAGTATTATTTTCCCAAACATTTTAGATGAAATTTAACGTATCACGAAAGTGAGAATTTTTCTGATTCCTCTCTCAATCACATGTTTGAATCCGAACATTTTAGGTTTCCTCTTTTCTACGAAAAATTAGCCTAACCTGGGATGTAAAATGGGAAAAATTAAACTTCAGAAAATCGTAGGGAATTTATAAGATAACCCTCGAAAATTGAACAGGAACGGAATGGTCATCTAGAAATTTTTAGACGTCCTCAAGCTATAGAAAATTCTAGGCAAATCTACTTCTCCGAACATATATTTTACAGAAAACAGTCGTTGAGTGCCCCTGAAATTTGCCCGCTATAACGAGGTTTCGTTATGTCGAGGTTTTTTTTCATACCGTAAATCCTCTATTAAGCCCCCCCCCCCCCCGGGGGGGCTTATTTATTTCAAAGCCATTTGAGGGGGAGGAGCTTAGTAGAGACGGGGCGCTTAATATATTTAATTTAGAAACCACGATGGTATCGGTTCTCCATAAAGAACTAGAATACAAAGTGGAAAAGCTCACGTACAGGAAATCTTAGGTCATGCAGCCGAGGATCATAATCAAATCCGAACTTCCAGTCGGTAAATAATTAACCATACCGGATCTGTCCACACGAAGTTTTACGGTCGTGATTGATTGATCCAGTCTTTCATTTATTAGTGAAGAATAATTAGGGGTGGGAAGCGGGTGCTTGATAGAGGGGGAGTGGGGGAGGGGGCTTGTTAACTTTCTTCCCCTGAAAAGGGGGGGCTTATTAGAGGGAGGGGGCTTATTTGACAAGGGCCTTTGATATAGGTTTACGGTATATTTTACTATTATTGCTGAGGTAAAGAAAATCATTCGTAAGTTCTTTTGTCGCGGTTCCACTGTATAAGGGCCTACCCCTATATAGTCTCTTGACGAAAAAATATTTTTTTAATGTTACGTTTTTAATGTTAAGTCAACGAAACTAAGGACTTTGATTATTTACATGTTTCGCTTTTATAGCTACAGAAGGTGCCGCGTGAGGTTCTTTTTCGGAATGGCATCTGTCCCCGCGGTATAACCTGGGTCTCAAAGTTGTTTGTCACGCAATCTCGTCTCGCTAAAGGCAGTAAAGGAAGGATTCGGGTCTGTTGTCAAATAATGTGAGGTAGGTTAAAATGTTTTCCTTTTTTATAGCTATAACGATTTGGTTCATGAGAAATGAGAGCATTTGAAAGAATAGCTACCGACACTATTAGCCGTTTTGTACATATATGTACCGAACGGCAAAAGTAAACAAATACGCACGTAAGGGAAATGTTGTAGTCAAGAAGTTCATAGCACACTTTCGCAGAATAAAATTGCTTTTCCTTCTGAAAATTTACCACTGTGAAATCGAAAATCGTTTTTGGTGTTTAAACTGGCGGAAAAGGGTCGAATTTGCGCCAGAGTTTCAAGTGCTGTCTAAGTTCTCGCTTGTATTCATCAACACAACTGCAAGTTCAGAGGTCGTAAATCACGCGAGTACCGTAAATGTTTTCAGTTGTAAAAACTCGCAGTTTCAATTGCCCCAGAATTTTATTTCACAGATTGATAGGGGAAATATTGCTCTTTCTCTGGAATACCATTTTTCGAATGAAAGCCATGTACCAAGAAGGGATTTTCGCTGTTGAAAAATGGCAAAATTGATGGTGGCGATAATGCTGATTTAGAGGGTAATTTTGAAAAAATATTAAAAAATCAGATTGAAATCTTTTGAAATTGTAACAACGTTTAGGTAGAAAGGAAGGATCATAAAATTGTTAAATATAAGAAAAGTTATGGTATTAGTGTCCGTTTCCATTCACGAAGCGAGGGTATCAAGCACATTTTTCGGTGGTTTCAAGGCCTCTCGAAGGTGAAAATTAAAAAAAATTATTATTTTGGAAAATATTAAGTCAAACGAACTGACTCTTGTATTTTCTAAAATAGTTTCCAAAGGGCTTTGCTGTGATAAAGTTTGGGGGATTTCGATTTTTCCATCTTGCACACCTATCCGTGGTATTTACAGAAAGTCGCTCTTAATTTCGTTGTTTTCTGCGTTTCATCCGTTTTCGAATGAGACTGACCTTCTGCTTCCACCATTGAATGGAGCGTTATATACAGTCTTAAGTTTCAGCAGCTGTACTTTTGAGGAACTCTGCATTTTTTTTCTTTTTTGCACTAGACTGACGCTGGAAATTACTCTTTGCGAGACTTGCTGAATATTCTCCAGACTTCCTCTTACGATGGCAATTGGTTTTTAACTGAGTCTGTGGAGTCTTCCGCGACAGAAGTAAAAAAAGGCCCTGAGTCGTGCTCAGAATATCCAAACTCTCACCTTGCTTGAAATTGAAACTTTGCATGTCTGAACCCGGAATTAAAACTTTAAATGTTACGTCATCATCGCACAGTAATTAGTATTAATTTTCTTTCAAGCGAAACGCAATATGTCGTATAAATGTTGAAGTTCGTCAGTTAAAAAGGAAGGAAGTTATATGAAACTACTGATGCAATATTAAATAAGCAAAAGGCAGTTGGTTTTCAATCATGAATCGCAAACATACAGTCAGACAGAACGAGCTGAGAGGTGACTTGAGAGGAAAACGGAATTTTTACGTCGCAAACCAATCCAACAGTATTTGCTGGACCCATAAACACGTTTTTTGATAAATTGCATGTTCACGGGTGACTTAAAGAGTGTGAGGCGGCCTAAAGATACAGCACCCTAGTTACTTATAATAAATGATCTGTTCCTTAATAATTAAAGCAGCTAATAAGATGTAAGTCGAATTATATAGCTTCAGTTTGTTCAGTTTAAAAGACATAGCCTGAATATCCTTATTTTTTTTCTGCCGATTTTAGGCTGAAAATATTCTTGTATTATTCTTTAATTGTATCAGGATAAAGTTCGTCAGTCAAATGGAAGTAAGTTATTCGAAACTATTGGCGCGATATCAAAGTAGAAATGGCAGCTTGTTTGTGGTGAATCGTAAACACAAAGTCAAACAGAAAAGAGTTAAACGATCGTTTAGAGGAAATGCGGACTATTAGGTCTGAGACCAATCCTACATGTTTGCTGGACTCAAGCGAAACAAACGCCCATTTTTTTAGATAGATAGATAGATAAATGGATAGATAGATAGATTATTCAAAAATAAATACATGGGCAACCAGAGGCTAAATTGCGTATTTACAAATAAAACTAAGCTAAAAATAAAATAATTTACCATACATCAATATTAAAAATATTAAAAATTCATGCATATAATATATAAAAGCATTCAAACCGAAACATTCAAAGGGACTGTGACACGCTTCTGCGCATGTGCGGCAACTTGATTTGTCTCCGGCGGACAGTTTTTCAAGATTGGCGTTTGGTGAAGAAATCCTCTTCCATCGACCCTGAGACGCCCGAGAGAGCCATAATATCAGTATTCAAGAGCTATTTGGTCCATTTGGGAAGTTTTGAACGCCATATTTTGTACTTTTGTGCAAGTATTGTCGAGAAAATTCGAAGTCATTCAGGAGAACCGTACGAAGCCAAGTTCGTTGTTGTCAGTGTTCGTACAAACGGATCAAATGTGGCCTTTAATGTAGTCATCTGGCTTTCATTTCTGTCTATCAAGGTTCTCCAGTCAACTATCTACCTTTGACGGATATTTTTCAAACTATAAATATGTAAAGAGGAGTTAAAAAGGGTTTCCTCGATACAGCCGTGGACTACTAATGGGTTTGTTTACAACTTATTTTTGTTTGCGGATCAGAGACTGGTTTTCTATCGTGGGTACGTAAAAATGCACGTAGGTAAGTGTCTGTTTCAAAGCAGGACAGGGTTGTTAATCTTATTCTTATCATCTGCAACATTTATCTGAGGAATACCGGAGAATAAATATGAATTATGGGGATATATATAAAATCGAACATAAACGTCCGAAAGACTCCCACTTCGCAAACAATGAATCTTAAATTATGTAAATTTCCTCGCGTGCAGCTTACTCGCTTCCGATTGGTTCAAAGACAATCAGCTGCTGTCACAGCTCACACATGCGCACAATCGTGACACAGTTTAATTGTACTTTAATTAGGCACGATGACAAAATAAAAGTGTTCTTAAAACGGTCCGTTTTCCACTTTGGAAGTGCAAAGTATTGCTGATTTCTTAGTAAATATGGAGCCTTATTGGCATCAGTTAATAACTTGTTAAGTTTGTTGTCCTTGTTGCAGAGGGCAGCGTTAAAAACCTTGTCACATATGTCCTCGCAATATGAAATAATGGTTGGAATACCAGTTTCATTAAGTGCCTCGTCATAAGACGGACTGGGGCAAATGATTGATAATGCCCTTTTGTTTTAGTAACTGTGACAAACGAGGAGTCTTTTGAGTTGAGATAAGGAACTTGTTCCCCGGAAAAAAAAAAATACTAGCTAAGCTTTTAAAACAGAGATCAGAAAAGTAGGTAGTTAGTCTCGCTTGTGTGCGCGCCAAAAGGGGAATCATGGTCCCAGGCGTTACTAGTGGAGATCGTGGAAACTAGGGATGGAAATTGTTACCAGCTGTCACAACGCCATGCTCTATTTTGTGAAGAAAGTTTAGGAAAAATTGATGCACGGATGTCGAACTTTCCGGGAACGGATCGATCCACGAATTCTATTGCTTGAAAGCGTTGATTACTTTGGAACAAGTGAATGCTTCACGGAAAACTTCGATGGAGAAACTATAAACTGGTCGGGCGTTGTAAACTTTCATTGTATGAAAATGAGTCTTGCGATGAGCATGCGGTTTATTTTTGGCGATGATTGAAATGACGCGCCATGTTCATTACGTTTTTACTTTCTAGCAATGATTTGTATTTGTACAAGCGTATATTCTGAAGAAAATATTCATTAAATATTCTGAATTTATTAAATTTTCTGAAGAACACTCGACCGTCGATAAAGTGGGAAGAGAAACCTTTTGGCGAAGAAATCCTGCTTCGTGTGGAATTAATCGCCTCCTTATCTCTTATCTAATCTCCAAGCAAGCGAGACTTGTGCTATTAAGAGGGTTCTTGTTGTAAGTTAATCCAGGGAGCATATTACATCATGAGTAAAGGCTTGGTTACCAACATGGTGGTATCGCGTGTTATAAATGGAAACGATCGTTTACGAAAAGGAAATAGGCTTCGGCGAGGCTGAAGACTTAAATACCTTTTGCCGTTGCAAAATGCTTGAGCAATGCCGTGACTTTACGCTCGCAATAGATATTAAATTATGTTCATTGAACCAATGTTTAAGGTTGAAAGCTGTGATTCTGTAACTTTCGCTCAGCGGATAGTCGCTATAACGTTTTAGTATTTTTCTTGCAGAAAAATTCAGATCAGGCAAAAAAATTTCTAGCTTGAAACCTCCGAAAATCTTCATGCCCCAATAGAAGGTTAAGGTTCTACAAGGCTAGCTGTGCATAAAAAAAGCTACTCTCTTGAGACAAAATGGCTGCCGCGTGACAAAGGTCTATTTTGGCGTTTTTGACGTCTTGGTTCACCATAAACATTTTTGGCGAAGCTCACGCGCGCGCAGCGGTGCACCATGGGTAAGAATTTTGGTTCACTGTGCATAAATAATCACGTGGGCGTACGCACGCCCTTCCGCACCACAGGCATACCAATGTAGAATAACTCAATCAACAGGTATGGCAAATGCAACACGGGGTTTTTCGGCGGGAAACCTAAAGTCCACCGCGACTTTTTAGAGAGAGAAAGTCCATCCGGACTTAGAAGAGAGAAAAACCAACAACAAAGTCAAGTCCAACTAAATTTTAAGGTCTTTAATGACATCGACAACAGAGCTAAAGCGAAGCAAGAGACAAATTTCGTTGGAGGAAAAACATGGAAATGGCGGTGAGAAAATGAGAAAAGGCGGCCAACAAGGTGAAAATGAGCGGCACTGTAGAAAAAAAAATGAACAGGAACACGACGAAACATCGGTGAGCATATACCACATTTTCCAACATAAAATGAGCTAGGAAGTTTCACATTGTAGTCGTGCAAAACAACGTCAAAGAAATGTACAAAAAGGGTGCTGCGCACTTGCAAGGTTGTTGGTTTTTTTGCTAATAGAGAGCAGAAGTCTTACGTCACGTTGCCATAGTAGCAAAATTTTTGGATCAGACAACAAACCCGACGTCACTTAACTAAGTAAATTCGCGCTGTTTCAAATTTCATCGAACTTATTCAGTTTCATTTAGTATGTTAAATGTTGACAAAATTCTCTGGGGTTGAATCCCAAAGGACCGTATCTGTGTTTAGAAAAAGAAAAAGAAAATTTTTGTGCTGTGTTGACCAACTCCATAGCGGGGGCGCGTGAAATTAGGAAGTTCCATGTCGCAGTCGCGTAACGACGGCTAAGAAAACTGGCTAGAAAAAAGAGTGATGCACGTGCAAAGTTTTTCTTTTGCTAAACCTATCGCTTTTTTGCCGTTCTCGTTGTTTTCGCCGTCGTCCTTGGTTAAGCTCTTCATTGTTTTCACCCAGAATTTTTGCTACCATGGCAACGTGACGTCACTTTTCTTCTCTCTATTAGACCTATTTACTATTTTTTTGTCGTTTTCGTTGCCGTCGCCGTTTAGCGTTGCTTTCTGTTTCTGTTATACTTGGTCCGTTCAATCTTGAAAAGGCCTTGAATTTTACTAGTCGTCTTGAAAAGTCTGAGTCCTTGAATTCGGTTTAGATCCCTAAAAAATACTTGATGTCTCTATTAGGTCTTGAAAAGTCCTCGAAATTCACAACGTTGTAGACACCTTCAATTTTCTGTAAAATTACTCAGATTATTTTGCCGAGGAGAATTTCGCTCATCCTCGGTGTATAAGAACCTGTAACACTCACTGGTAACGTAAAAACATTTTTGCGCATGAACGATTTCTGCACCTCAGAAGCAATGGCAAGTCATACCCAGTCAGTCTTGTTGCGGACAAAAGTATGGAGGTAAAAATTAATTGTAAAGGCTAGGGTTTTAGCCAATAGAGTGATCAAAGGGGGTTACAGAATGCCGATTTATTAAAAAATCTTAGTCTTCAAAAACTGTAATTTGTCCTTGAAAAATCATTGAAATTTGGTTGTCTGACGTTGCAGTGGCGGATCCAGGGGAGGGGCCCAGGGGGACCTGCCTCTCATCCCCTCTTATTTTTAGACCAAACTGAGGCCCGAAGGGCCAAACAAATTTTTTTTGGAGACTGCCCCCCCCTCTGGATGACCAGGTCCCCCAGGTCTGTATCAGGCACTGAGTTGTACTTATATCCTCTTGATGGTAGCTATTCTCCTGATTATCGGCCAGTTAATTAACAGATTCTCTTTTAGTGTTTTTTTCCCCATGCCCTGATCTGAAAGTAACCGTGCAAGGTAAACACTTCATCTTGTCACTCAAAGTTCGGGGTTTCAGAAATCTTGTCAAAAGAAACTAGTACTTTTAGCTTTTTAAATGATAGAAATGATTGGAAATTGTCAAAAAGCTCGATTTCACTCTTCTGCTTTCTAAATATTACTTGTACATAAATATGTTAGCCCCTAAAGATTTATCTTTGGATGAATTTAAGGCTAGAATCAGTTGGAGGTATGATTTCGAAAAACCTCTTCCTTCAATTAGTTAGAAAGAATTCAACTTTACCAGAATCAGAACCTGTTAATTAACAGGTCTAATGCTATTGTGTGAACTGATGTGTTATTCTTTTCCGTTTTTATGCAATCATTATGGTCCGATCTGTAATATCGTTATATACTTTCTTCTAGTTTTAAAATTTGTAACTGTAACATGTGTTGTGTAAATAAATGACTATTAAATAAAATAAAAAATATATTTTCTTGTTTGAGTAAATTATTTACAAGTATATTAACGAGAGCCTAGCGTCACTTTTAGCACTGCTGGCTAAATCTATTTAGTATATACTAAAACAGTGGATAGTGTTTTTCACGCGCTCTGATTGGCTACTCAATCAGTGAATATCCTGCACTATTCACTGATTCACCTCCAGTTCCTCCGAGCGAGCGACGCCAAACTCGCGTAAGTTGCGAGCAAAATGCCTTCCCGGTTTGCTGCCGTAAACAAACAAAGAAATTTCACAACTAATCAAGCAAGCTGTTTCCAAAATACACGAAGATGGTGACGAAGTTCGGATTGGAAGTTTTAACAGGTAAAGCTTTGTCTTTTTGACACGAATTTATCGATAAAACCGGTGAAAAAATTTTTGTTTACAAATGCAAATTAAGTTTAAGTCTTGCGTTACTTTATTTAGTTGAGTTGTTCATAAATAAGCTTAAAACTAAATTTAATAATCTTTTGTTATAGAATGATTTTAAATACAAAAAGAATGCACACCTCTTTTTGAAGAAATTTCCCCGCAAGAGCTAAACAAATGTCTGCAAAAGTTTTAATTGTCGGCAAGAAAAAGCGACGGCACCCGCCGCCCGGTCATTACGCGCCAAAATTGTAATCGTTGGCAACAGTATTTGAGTTAAAAATCATCATTTTTGTGCTCAATTATCTCACTGTTTTAGTATATACTAAAACAATTATTCACCTCAGTGTCGGTGGCTAGTCGTGGATATTTACCTCACTGCTTCGCAGTTCGGTAAAATATCCACGACTAGCCACCTCCACTTCGGTGAATAATTGTTATATATTTTAGTAGTAGGGCTATAGGTGTTAACAAGCGAACTGAAGACATGTGTCCAGCCTGCATACATCTGTTATTATAGGGTTCTCATGGAAGCTTTATTTTTTGGGTGTATTGTTTCTTTTGTTGTATGTAATCTGTCTCGGTAGGACCGTGTACCCTCGACCATTTTTTCTTGCAGACAAATTCAGATCAGGCAAAACATTTCCTTTACAACCTCTGAAAATCTTCATGCATTAGAAGGTTAAGGTCATTGCTAGTTGTGTTACATGTTAAGCTATGAAATCAGCGAGGTCATCAGTGGCTTTAATTAAGAAGGATTCAGAAGTTCCAAATTACCCTCTCATTTTCGAAGACGAATTGATATTAAATTTAACATTAGAACTGCATGCAAAAACAGTCCTCCATTGGTTAAATAGCTTTCCTCCTTTACATCATGGCTCCCACATTTGCTATACATTCAACAATATTCATCTGGCACGAAACTTATCATGAAAACAAATATAATTACGGCCTTTTATAGTCTTTTATAAACTCTTTCACTCTCAACAGCGTCTTGCAGATAAATCTACAGCGGGAGCTAGTGGCCTATCAGCACGCTCTCATCAAGTCAGATTACTCTACTTTCTGGTAACTAGAAAAATACGACTTTCATGTACTATTTAACAGACATTGATCTGGAAGAAGTCCTTTTGTCTACTGATGATGGTATTTACTTTATGTGAGACTCGCTGGAGTAACAGTAAAATTAACAGTATCTTTTTTGTGTCTTACTCATCGGGCTGTTCACAATAAAGGTCTTTTACATTTAAGTAACAATAACCGCGGTTTAACTAATAATGTACGCACCATAAAATCATCAAAGATTTTCTATCAAGTTACATTTTCAATAATTCTTTCCTCTTTTTGAACGTAAGATTAATATATTTGACTATTATTTTACAAGTATTATTGTCTGCTGTTTATTAATATTTTATTCTGTCATGGGCAGTAAGATTCACAAAAGCAACATCCTTACTTGAATTAAAATTAATTAACTCCTGTCGCAATACATTGTACCCACTGCAAAACAGCAAGAAGTGTTGTTCACCTTCGACTTGGTCTTGTTTGCAAACCAAGCACGTTCTGTCTTCCACAGTTATGGGAACCCCGCAGATTTCATATTTTCCAGTTTGTATCCGTGTTGAACTTGGGGAGACACAATTTTGGTCATTGAGCCAATTTTGGGAGCTGCTGGCTGAGAACCGCAAGGCAGTTCTCCCGCGCATGCGCGGGGAAGGCAGATCAGGGGTTACCCCTTGCTTTTAGTTTGTCCACGTGACACTCCCAATATATGATGCAAATTCTCGCACACTAGTCCCGTTTTGCGGATACGGTCAGGCCAAGTAAAAAAAATGTTTCTTGTCCGGAGAGCGAGCGAGCGGGCGCAAGAAGAGTGTAGTAAATTCTGTTTACTTGAAAGAGCGCCACGGCGCTTACTGGTTTTCGACTTTAAGTTGCAAAAGATATTTGAGGGCTGCGCTCTTTGGATTAAATGCAATAGAATTGTGTTGTTCGAAAGGGTGCCGCTAGCCTGCTTGGAAGGCGCTGGGAAGTAAATGAGCGCAAGAAAGAACGGGCGCGTGCGAGTGCGTGCGCCCTCTCCCCTCGCGTGTCTCCTTATCGCGCGCGCGTTTTTTCTTGCGCCCATTTATTTCCTAGCGCCTGCAACGCATTTTAGGCATTTTAGGTTTCTATTACACTTGCGGCCGATTTTTACTATATTTGTGGTCAATTATTGCATTTGTCACTTCAACAGTACCCCTTTCGTCTGCTTTCTATTGATAAATGGTACCCCTTTCACATACCTAGTTTAGAACTTTGTATCCCTTCGAACTGCTGTAAATGCACTGTCTTTTAAATGTGAACAAATCAGAAAGCCAGAGAGCTTTCTTGCGCCGACTCTCTCACAGACATAATGCATCTTTCAGTTGTTTTGGGTCTTTTTACGGACCGAAATGACAAATTTCCCCACCGTTTTATTTATTTCAACTAGTGAAATCCTTATCCTTTCATGTACCTGAGACATGGAACCGGGGATTACAGGGACTAACCCCCAGGCCAGACATACGATACGCGATACAAAGGAATTAGGCAATAGACCTTTGTCACGCGGCCGCCATTTTGTTTTAGGAGATTTAAAAAGCTTTGTTTATGCACGGCTAGCCTCGTTCTCTCTACGAGGCTAGCTGTGCATAAACAAAGCTTTTTATGAGGCGGTCCGTGTAAGAACCGACCACTCGAATTTCGGCGGAAAACAGAATTCCTTCATTTTTTTTCTGCGACACAATTAGCCCATTCCATTAACAAAAATCGAGTTTGTTTGGCTGATAGTGTTTTTTCTGTTTAGATGAAGGTGGGGGACCCAAGGTGGGTGAGGTAACCCGCTTAGGTGGGGTAAAAAAATAACCCTCCTTTACATGCAATCTTACAACCCCGCCATCCCGGGGCACACTTTCTCAAGATTATTCAATGGTCGTTGAGCACGTACACAAGAAGAATACTGGCAAACCACGTGTTTTGGGGATTAATGCTCTTCAATACTCACTTGCTGCTCTTGCTGCAACCTTCAGTCCTATGGCTTTCTATTGTTACCTTTAATAATGATGCAAAGCCAACGCCAAAGTGATTTTTGCTCGAATTCGATGTATCACGAAACCGACCCTGGCTAGGCGGGTTACCCCACCTTGAAACGTTTATGGTAAAATTTCACCACGGCAGGGAGGGTTACCCGGTCTCCCGCCTCGGCGGGTCACCCCACTATCACGTAAACGTGATCAACTTAAACTGAGAGATTATATGGACAGGCGGGTTAACCCACTTAAACGGGTTACCTCACCAACCTGGGGTCCCTCACCTCCATGTAAACAGGCCCTAAAAAAAATTTGGGCGGCGATTTGCCTGGACGGTCCAAAGCTGTCATGATCGTCTTTTTTAAGGTCAAATTTAAGCGTTTTGTTCAAGGCTCGCAAAAATCTAACATTTACCCAAGTAGCATAAGACAAAAGTATGATTTTAATTCATGCTTCCTTTATTCAAAAAAGGCAAAATATTTTAATTCTGACTTAAAAAAAAAAGGAATTATGATGTTTTGAAAATACAACGTAAAGCGTCCTTGAAAAAAATGCGCGGTTGTCCTAGTTTTGAAATGAGCTTTTTTCAAACGTCTGACGTTATCTGGAGTTTTGGTCACTATGCCTGTTCAGTACTAGGGCTAGTGTATTGAAGTCAAGGAAAACATTTTTGGGCACTGTTGATTCCGAAGCACAAGAGTTCGATAAAGTTGGGTAATATTCTACTGTAATTGTGCGTATGACGTAATTTACACATTTCTTGATTCCGAACTTTCCTACTAAAAAACTGAAAATCATTACTGTCAGGGAGCAGCTATTTTCAAACTCCGGTGAATGTTGCTATGTCAAGTTGTGGCTAAACAGTTTAGAAATTTCCCTGAAATAAAGGGGCTACGAACGGTTAAAAAATCAAAATACATTATCAATTGATTTACCGTGTAATTACCACCTCAAAAGTTATAACACGATTCAGCAAAGAAATAGTTTACCAAAATGTACCGAATTTTCTAGCCACAAGTTTTTGTGTGCAGGCGACATAATTTATGTTGTGTCTGACGATGTCAATTTCAGATTTCAGTTCGCAGTGCAAAACATGTTGGATGTTATTTTATCGAAGCTGAAACTACTTATCAGGCTTAACGAATTAAAATAAACAAAGTACAAAAAAACTGGCTACTATTAACAATAAAAACGTTCTGCTGGTTTACTATTTACTATTTTTTTAGTTAATTTTTCTGGCGTCGTTCACTTAATTTAATTTCGTATGCAAATTTGCAACACAAAACGTAGAGCATATTTATATTGTGCCGGGAGAATGAGAATGAGAATGACTGCATTTTGTTCTTTTTCCGCAATAACAGGCGGAAAATGCGGAAGTAATCGAGGATGTGCAGATTTTGTGTGCTTGAATAGTTGCAACGCTGACATCAGTTCACATCTAATGAATCACCACCTATCAAGGGAAAATGTTTGTGAAATGGATCTGATACTGGCAAGGGCAGGTCTGGTAGAACTCACTGACGATCAGATCAAGAATATGACGGTTTTTCCAGTCCATCGCTACACTTTGGGAAAATACTGGAAAGCTCCAAAGACCTGCCAGTGCCCAAAACATCACGGGAAGAAAATGACAATAGCCGGAACACATGTTGTTAATTTCAAGACTGCAAGGGAATAAACAATATCTTCGGAGAAGCCGTTCCCGTTGACTCGCGTAAGTACTATCAGACTAGCAACTATAACTGTTTTATCCTTTCATTTTAGCATATCATACAGCATTAAAATGTTTTGTCTTCCTAAACATTTCAACTGGAAACTTTCGTTCGTAATCTAATTACCTAAAAGCGAGCTATATACTGAGGGGAAGTCCCACTCTATACATTTCCTGAACGTTAAACGATCGATCTCGTATTTGAAAGTATTTTGCGGGCAGAAAATCATTTCCAAACAAATGACACATCAAATGATCATAATTTGGTTTTTGTAGTTCATTAGCAATAGTTCTTTGCTGTGCGTCATCCATAAATCTGGTCGCTAATTTATAGACCATATAATATAATTTCCAAAATGGGATACTTAACAATTATTGCTCGAGCCCGAATGGGCTATTAACTCAGAGGCCATGAGGGCGAGAGGAATTAGTAAAATCCAACTAGTTGCTCAAAAATATCGGAAAAAAAAAAAAAGTTTAGCTAGCAAAACGCGACTCAGCCGCCATTGTTTGGGTTTTCAAAGCCGGCTCTTTTCGCTACTAGTGGGCTATAACACATTGCCTAGTAGTAGCTCAACCAATCAGAACGCAACAGTGATAACAGACAACTAGTTGGATTTTACTAAAAAGATATACGGTAGCTTCTTTTATCCTTTAGTATTTTTTAACAAGTCTTTCCAGGTTGCAAAACTATTTTTTGTTTCTTTTTGTTACTAACTATTTGTACAACGTGCAGAAAGAAACACAGTGAAGAATTAGATCGGAAATCAGACTGGCTATACCCTGAGGAAACTGAGGGAGATGTGCTGCTTCAAAGGTACTGTCGGGAGGATAGTCGTTTGGTTGTTGTTTCATAAAAAAATACGTACACGGTTGTCCTGTCAGGTTATCCCATCGCAAGGCAACTAAGTAGCAGCCTTTCCATTTCTATTCTCCGCAGACCTGCTAAAGAGGCTGCTTTGGGAGCCATCGGTCGCATGGTCACTTCGACTCCATTTCTTGAAGACCAATCAACGCCACCGTCTTGGAATCCCCATCCTCGGAGACCCAGGGGTTCAAGGTTAGATGCTTTGTTTTTGAAAAGCACCGTAGGTTTTACCTTAGCTCTAAGATTTTTTTAACTTCTTTACACTGAAACATGGCAAGTTTAGATGCCAAAGGTGAAATTGTTCCTATAGAGCTTCCAAATCCAGAGGAAACACAGCTAAGGAAGGGTGAAAACGAACCGGTACGTTCCCGCTAACATTCACATTTGCTGACAAACACAGTGGATGCTACGGTAACGGTTTGATTGACGTCGCAGAAAAATTTGAATTTGGCATGCTCAATATGAATTGTCGAGGATGTCGGCAGAGGTTCCTTCCTGTTCCCGACTTATCTAGGAAGATCGAAGCAGACTGTTTGCAGGGTACTTAAGTATCAGCTTAAAACTCCATTCCAAAACTTAAGCGATGGGAAACAGTTGAAAGTTGTAAAAAAGGCTGAAGAGGACTGCTTGCACGTATCTAGTGTAATTGCTCCAGGTAACGGGGAGGAGCTCTTCGAGTCAATGATGTCTGTACAAAGAGAAATATTTGATGGCTCAGCCCCCGATGATCTTGTGGTACTCAAGACTACTTATAAGAATGCGAAGACCAGGAATTTAAAGAAACAGATTCTGAGCCTTTACGCTCATAGATACCCTATGACAAAGCTGAAGAAAATTCACAAACCTTACGGAAGTCTCCGTCTACATGGGAAATAAAGCAAGCACGTTCTCATGCGAAAATGCACGGCCCTGGGACCATCCCTGAAATCAAGACGAAACATCGCGAACGCCTTGATATGGGGAAGGTCGACCACTATGTAGAATTCATTAATGGACCTTATTTTTATCAGGATGTTTCATATGGTAACAAGGTCTTGAGATGCCTAACGTTGTAAGGATCCTGACCAGGTCTACAATGATTGAGCAATACTTGGAGTATTGCAAAGAGCAATGTCACGAGCCACTTAGTAGGTCTACGCTGTTCAAAATATTAGAAGTTCGAGAAGCGTCTCAGAGTAAATCGCTCTAGGGCTTAAACAATACAGCTGCAAATGGTGCTGAGGGCTTTCAGACTATCGAGACGCTGGTTGAAACTCTTGAGAAAGGAGGAATGGAAAAACTGTGGTGTCTACGTATTTGCCAAAACCTACGCGATGCTAAACGCTATCTCAAAACTGACTACCGTGTGCACTGTCAACAGTCTCACTCTACTTGCGCTGACCACTGTAGAAAGTTTGCGCTTAGTGATCCTGTTATTCTCAACCTCCAGCATCCTTGTCCGCATCAGCATCAATCGACTTGCGGGCAATGCCAAGTGCTGAAGAATGTTCTAAAGGAAGTGAGACTAGCGATTGAAGAGTCATCATGGAAGCCTTATAGTTCCGAAAAACGAGAAGATTTCCTTTACGACTTTGACCGTGCACAGTCAGACATCATGCTGTGGAAAGCGCACATTGTGTGCCCAATAAATCAAGAGGAGGCGAAACAAGATGCACTGAAATCAGAAGACCCACAGGCAGCCATTCTGATCATGGACTGGGCCATGAAGTTCCTCCAAATAAAATTTCGTGAGAAACAGTCTGAATGGTTCGGCAAACGGGGGCTCAGCAGGCATATTTCCACCTTTATAACTAAGAATGCTGACTCTGGAAAAATTGAGCTGAAATCGTATGCTCATATCTTCGACTCTTGCCAGCAAGACTGGTACGCAGTATGCTCGATCATCGAAGACACACTTGAGGTTGTAAAGAAAGAACATCCCCAGATTACCCAAGTGAACCTAAGGAGTGACGAAGCAGGCTGTTACCACAATAACTTTCTCTTAGACGCCGTTAGAGATGCCGGAAGACGAGTAGGCATTGAACTAGCACGGTATGACTTTTCCGAGCCGCAATATGGAAAAGATATCTGTGATAGAATCCTTTGCCCAATGAAAGCATCCATCCGACGATATTGCAATGAGGGACACGATGTCGTTTCTGCGAAAGACATGCGTGTAGCGCTTTCAGAACGCCCTGTTCAAGGTACAACTGCCTCCGTGTGTGCAATGAATGAGACTCAAAAGACACTCGAAGTACATAAGATAGAAGGTTTCAGCAAGTATCACAATTTCAAGTTTGAAGTGAAAGGAATTAGAGCATGGAGAGCTTATGGTGTTGGAATAGGCAGGTTTATTCCTTACCGCGCGAGAGGTCATAACTGAACCTCAAGGTCCTACTGATCTCATTGTGCATGAAAACTTCTTTACTCTCAAAGAAGCTGGAGTATATAAGAGAGAGACAGACAGTGAAAATGAACAATGCAACGGTCTTTTCTCTTGTTCTGAGCCCGGGTGCAACATGGTTTTCAAGAAATTCAGTGAACTCGAAAATCACCTTGATCTTGGTGAGCACAGCCAAGTTCGCCGAAACTCTGATACGGTGTATGACAAGCTCAGAAGAGACTGGGCGGAGAAATTTCGTACTGTTGATAAGGACGAAGAAACTAAATCAGAAGCATGCCCGAAGCAGTTGGAGAGGAGCGTCACGAAAAGAATGAAACTGGCCGCTCTCCCCAATGCAATGACTTGTAGACTGGATGGCCTTTACACAAGCCCCGAAACGAAGCTGTGCGTTTTCCTACCGAGGTTAAACAGTACCTAACAGCGAACTTTGACCTTGGAGAAAGAACTGGCATCAAGTCAGATCCCGCAAAAATGGCAGCAGATATGCGAACTGCAAGAAACCCAGATAGTTCTCTGATGTTTGAAAGGAAACACTGGCTCACAAAAGGTCAAGTACAGGCTAGCGGCCTCGAGAAGAAAAAAGGCACATCGGGAAGCGCTCAATGAAGACGTACAGGCAGAACAGGAAGAGCAGGAGAGACGAGCCGTCCTGGAAGAGGTGGCCACCCACCTTGGCCATAAGCATCCTATCTGCTATGATTCATACTGTTTATGTGACCTTTCACTCGATAAGAAACTTGAAACATTTAGCGTTGCTATGCTCAAGGACATGTTGAAATACTTTGAAATTCCTTTTAGTTCTCGCGATAGAAAAAAAAATCTTGTAGCAAACCTATCCGAATTTCTTGAAGGCTGTGACTGTAACCAGCCGCATTAAGGCACAAACTGCTATTAAAGTAACCAACAGGGTGTTTCAACCTTGAATTCATGAAAGGCAACGAAAAAAAAATCGTGAGGGCAGTTATTTTTCAAAAACTTGAAAAGACGTTTTATGACTTTTATAATGTTTAAAAAGTCGAATTAGAAAAGAACATGTTTTTTGTCAACCGTAATAAAAAAAAGTAAATACGCGTGACAAGCTAAAAAAACTGACATTCACGTGTAGCCAGCGTGACGGGAAATTAACACTCTTCAGATGATTTGAATTGCGGCTGCGTTCTACCGAGTGTTTTTAATAAAATGTGTAATTCTTTTAAACAGAACTCACTTTCGTCAAATACTTATATGCTTAACTTGAATGAAAAGATTTTTTCTTTCTTTGTTGATCATGCAAACCTAAGACCAATTTAATTGAAATAAATTTTGTTAACAACTTTTTAGAAGAAAACTTAGACGACAACTGACGCCGGAATCGATAATTTCGGGTATTAAACTTCGCAATTTCTGCTTTCGTGTAGCATTTTGGTAAGTTGTTAGTTATTTACAGTTTATCTCGAACAATAAAAGCTACTTTTTAATATACCGTAAAATTCCAAAATTAAGCCCCGAGCTTATATATTTTTCAAAGGCCCTTTTTGAGGGGCTTATATTCGGAGGGGCTTATCTACGGAGGGAAATTTGCGTTTCAAAACCGATTGGGCTAGCCTTATAGTTGAAAGCAAATTTACCGTTTTTGCTTTGTTTTACTTTGTATTTGAGGGCAATTTTCCAGGTACATTTAGCCCCAGTGGCCTATATTTGGAGGGGCGATTTAGCGGAGGGTTTTTGCGTTACGAGTTTGGGGGCTTATATTTGGAGGGGGCCTGTACATGGAGGAGCTTATTTTCGGAATTTTACGTAATTTACGTCATACGAACAATTAAAGTCCAATATTACCCAACTCTTGTGCTTCGGAATCACCAGTGCCCAAAAATGTTTTTCTTGATTTCGATACACTAGCCGCTAGTACTAAACAGGGATAGTGACCAAGACTCCAGATAACGTCAGACTTTTGAAAAAAGCTCATTTCAAAACTAGGACAACCGCGCATTTTTTTCAAGGACGCTTCACGTTGTATTTTCAACAAAAATAATTCCTTTTTTTTTAAGTCAGAATTTAAATATTTTGCCTTTTTTGAATAAAGGAAGCATGAATGAAAATCATACTTACGTGGCAGAAAAAAAATGAAGAAATTCTGTTTTCCGCGGAAATTCGAGTGGTCTGTTCTTACACGGACTGCCTCTTAAATGGTATATTTTTACCATTCTTCAAAACATTTTAACTTTTTCACGTGAACTTTATTGAACTTTATTGTAATATATATTCTCAACAGTATAAACTACCAGTAGAGGTTTCGTCTTTCTCAACAAATAGGCTGTGTTGTTCTCCTTATCATTAGTATTCTTATTAGTATTCTTCTTATTATTATTTTTATAATAATAATAATTATTATTATGTGTTGTTGTTGTTGTTGTTGTTGTTGTTGTTGTTGTTATATCGGTAAATCTTTTTGCCACTCTTGTTACATTCAGTATGGAAGATTTATTGATATAGTTTTGATCTCTCTCCTCTTTAGTTAGTTTTCTTCCTTGTATGCTCTATGGCTAACAAAATCTGATAAACTTTTTAAGACACTTTACTGTACACAGAACTTTTTGCCCATAAAAATTTGGAAACTGACGGCCCCCTATTTATCAAGTCACTTGCCCTAAACCACCTTCGTAGCTTTTTCTTTTTGCCCTCTTTCTGACTTTGATAAATAATGCTTTCAGATCGAGTTTCCGTTATTTGTTAATTATTCCAAAGCAAACTGAAATCTCATCAACTTATACTAACTCAATCATATATTTATCCCTTTGCCTTCAAACAGGGAGTACAAGAAGGTTTCAGGTCTCATTTATATTTAGTGTCATTTTTCCAATTGTATTGCTGAAAAGCTAATATTTTCACCGCTCAGAGAGAAAAAGGCAGAAGTTATTCTCAGTTAGATCCTTTCTTTAGTGTGGGCCAATCGCAAAAATATTTCGAAGTATATCCAAAACAGTTTGTCGAATGTGTCTCATCTTCCAGCAGTAGATCAAGGGATTGAGGGATGAATTGAGAAACACAAGGGTCAATGTGATATACCATAAATGAGATAACAAGGGAGTTTCACCATTGGCCTTGGCAAAAACAACACAACATATTGGCAAATAACAAACTAAGTACACGAAATAAATGTAGAATGTAGCCAGTGAAGATTTTTTCAGTCTTGTGGCGTTTGCCATATCTTCATTCTGTGTTGCCTGTTGTACTTGCAGAGCGTGAATCTGCTTTGTGTGGTGTCTCACGGCTGCGTATATCTTGCAATAAAGCAATCCTGTAGTTACGACACAAACAACTAAAATGACCGCTCGCATAATATCACAATCATACAATTTACGTAGGATGGAAATTGATGCACTAAACACCCAGACTGAGATCACAACAGCAACAACACGTTTGTGAGTCACAAGCTCCTGATATCTGAGATGAAGATAAATGGCCAAGAATCTGTCCACAGCTAATGCAAAAACACTAAAATTCGAAGCAAAGACCAATGTTTTTTTCTGGATTAAATACGCTTCGTTTACCGCTTTATAAGCAGTACTGTTTGTGTTTTGTTTTATTATCATCACAAGAATTGCAAGATACAGTGGTTGGACAAGGAAGCCTACACCCAGATCAGACACAGCCAAACTTAGTAGCAAAGTTTTTAAAGTCTTAGGTAACGACGACGTTTTTCTGAGGGCTTGCATTGTTATGATGTTTAATACGATGGCGGTGAAAGACAAGAAAGCGTTGAAGAAGGAGTTAATAACAAGTGTCAAATGCAAGCCTTCAGCACTTGCCATCTTTTTTTTTTACATAACCCTAATCAGTGTTCAGTTTCTATAATAGGCAAAGAATTTCATTGCTGTCTAGGTTTCATCCGTTTTTGAATGAGACTGACCTTCAGCTTCCACCATTGAATGGAGCGTTATATACAGTCTTAAGTTTCAGCAGCTGTGTAGAACGTTTAAGGAACTCTGCATATGTTTTCTTTTTTGAACGAGGCTGAGACTGGAAATTGCTTTTTGCTAGACTTACTGAATATTCTCCAGACTTCCTCCTCCGATGGCAATTGGTTTTTAACTGAGTACTGTTGAGTCTTCCGCGACATTAGTAAAAAAAAAGTCCCTGTGAGTAAGTCGTGCTCGCTCACAATATCCAAACTCTCACCTTACTTGAAATTGAAACTTTGCATGTCTGAACCCGGAGTTAAAACTTTAAATGCAACTTGATCATCACAAAGTAATTAGTATTAATTTTCTTTCAAGCGAAACGCAATAGGTCGAATAATGTTGACGTCTGTCAGTTAAAAAGGAAGGAAGTTGTATTTAACTACTGACGCAATATTAAATAAGCAAAGGCAGTTGGTTTTCAATCATGAATCGCAAACATGCAGTCAAACAGAAAGAGTTAAGCGGTGACTTGAGAGGAAAACTGATTTTTACGTCGCAAACCAATCCAACAGTATTTGCTGGGTCCATGAACACATTTTTTGATAAACTACATGTTCACGTGTGACTTAAAGAGTGTGAGGCGGCCTAAAGGTACAGCACCCTAGTTAATTAATAAATCATCCGTTCCTTAATTTAGTAACAATTGCAAATGATCAGAACACCTGTTTACAGCTATTTCGTGAAAGGTTGTCGGAAAAAGTGCACGCGATAATTCCTAATGGTATTGTTCGTAGTTTTGAGTTCACTGTTCTTCAAAAGAAATTTGAAAGAATGGCACGAGAGGCCATGCATGTATGTTTGCGAAAGCTAAAGGAAAGCAACAAAAGCAGATTCGACAGCTACAGTGTCAGAAAAAAAGTATATTGGTCATATCCCATATTAACTTTCGGGCATTTTCGCGTGCACAGTTTTTCCGACAACCTTTCTCAAAACAGCTGTATACATGACGTGGTAATCCGAAGAGCAACTATGTGTCAAAAAGTATAATATATGCCAAAAACTGCAATCGAATACAACAAAATCAACTTACACTAGTATCCTTTATTAACTTGAAGGCAGCTAATAAGATGTAAGTCGTATTAGCTTCAGTTTCTTCAGTTTAAAACACACAGGCTGAGTTAATTCTTATTTTTTTTCTGTCGATTTTAGGCTGAAAGTATTCTTGTATTATTCTTTAATTGTATTAAAAAAAGAAAACAACTATTATGATACTTTTTATTTTGAAGGTTTATTTCTTTTGTGCTGTATGCTGTAGATGTGTGTAACATCATGATGGCTATAGCAACTAGTGCAGGTTTTTTCATTTTGTTGGTTATTTTTGCCAAAAGAGTAAGTTCGTCGGTCAAATGGAAGTAAGTTATTCGAAACTTTTGGCGCGATATCAAAGTAGAAATGGCAGCTGGTTTACGGTGAATCGTAAACCCAAAGTCAAACAGAAAAGAGTTAAGCGATCGTTTAGAGGAAATGCGGACTATTAGGATAGATAGATAGATAGATAGATAGATAGATAGATAGATAGATAGATAGATAGATAGATAGATAGATAGATAGATAGATAGATAGATAGATAGATAGATAGATAGATAGATAGATAGATAGATAGATAGATAGATAGATAGATAGATAGATAGATAGATAGATAGATAGATAGATAGATAGATAGATAGATAGATAGATAGATAGATAGATAGATAGATAGATAGATAGGATAGATAGATAGATAGATAGATAGATAGATAGATAGATAGATAGATAGATAGATAGATAGATAGATAGATAGATAGATAGATAGATAGATAGATAGATAGATAGATAGATAGATAGATAGATAGATAGATAGATAGATAGATAGATAGATAGATAGATAGATAGATAGATAGATAGATAGATAGATAGATAGATAGATAGATAGATAGATAGATAGATAGATAGATAGATAGATAGATAGATAGATAGATAGATAGATAGATAGATAGATAGATAGATAGATAGATAGATAGATAGATAGATAGATAGATAGATAGATAGATAGATAGATAGATAGATAGATAGATAGATAGATAGATAGATAGATAGATAGATAGATAGATAGATAGATAGATAGATAGATAGATAGATAAATTATTAAAAATAAATACATGGGAAGCCAGAGGCTGAATTGCGTATTTGCAAATAAAACTAACTGTAAAAATAGAATAATTTACCATACATCAATATTGAAAATATTAAAAATTCATGCATATAAAATATAAAAGCATTCAAACCGAATCATTTAATTGTACTTTAGGCACAATAACAAAATAAAAGTGTTCTTAAAACAGTCCGTCTTACCCTTTGGAAGTGCAAAGTGTCGGTGATTTCTTAGTAAATAAATAAATAACTTTAATAGTAACATCCTCGTGAGGTTTTTCAGGAACTATTTACAAACTATTTACAATTTATAAAAGCAAAAATGACAATAAAACTCGAAAACACAATTTATGATGGTATTCTACTAAATTCTAGAGCTTATGAAGGAAATGTCTGCCTCAATAGTTTGTCTTTCAGGGCGCGCTTGAAAGATGTCAATGAGGCACTTTGCCTAAGTTCATTATGCAAGTTATTCCATCTGTTGGCCCCTCTGTAGGAAAATGTGCGCTGGCCTATAGCCGTTCTGTATAGCAGAATCTGCAAAGAGTTCCGCGTACGAGTGTTACAAGTATGTATATTTGAGCGCTTGGTAAACTTGCTCGTTAAGTATTGAGGCGCAAGATCGTTCTGACATTTAAAGGTCAAAACGGAGTCTCTATAGAATAATTGTTCTTTAACAGGAAGCCAATTTAGCTCTCGAAGCAAAGGTGTTACGTGGTCAAACTTCCTAGAGTTTGTTACGATCTTGCAGGCAAAATTCTGAATAGATTGTAATCTGTTTATATTCTGGAGTGTAGTATTTGACCATACAGATGAGCAGTAAAGCATCTTACTAAAGACTAATGACGTTATTAACAACTCTAGTGTTTCCTTGTCGAAGTTCCTTTTGACTCTATTTATTTGGCAAAGCTTTGCGAAACAAGATGAGACTACACATGAAATATGGTGATCGTAGGTCAGATGGGGGTCAAGAAAGACTCCCAAGTCCTTGGCAGAGTCTGTTGGCTTCAGTGTTTTACCTAAGAATACCACTCTAGGGTCTTCTGGTAACCTGCTTTCCATCTGTCTGGTACCGAGGAAAAGGAGTTTAGTTTTATCGGGATTGATAAGGAGATGGTTCTCACAGCACCATTGAGCTACACTGTAGCTACACTGTGAAGGTCTTGTTCGAGCTTTTCAATGGCAGCATCAAGCTCAACGAGAGGAAATGACATGTATAGTTTTGAGTCATCCACATACGATTTTAGGTTGCAAAACGTCGGTGCCGTGGGTAAATCGTTGAGATAAATGCAGAGCAACAATGGTGATAGGATTGCGCCTTGAGAGACTCCGTGAGTTATAGGTAGAGTGTCAGGGTAGGAGGAGCCAATTCTCACGTATTGCCTGCGACCAGTTAAATAGCTCTTGAACCATTTGACAGTAGAGGGTGAGGCTCCTAAGATGGAAAGTTTGTGGAGCAACCTTGCATGGTCTATATTGTCAAAGGCTTTGGATAGATCTAATAGTACTAGTGCTTTTATCTGCTTTTTATCCATTGCTTCGAGTATCTTATCCGTGAGCAGGATGTTTAAGGTCTCTGTAGAATGAGCTTTTTTATTGCCGCTTTGGTGTGAGGTAAGGCGGTTGTTTTTTGTGAGATAGGCGCTGAACTGATTCAAAACAATCCTTTCGAGGACCTTTGAAGCTACGGCTAGCAGAGATAACGGTCTGTTGTTGGCAGCTTTTTCATGGTCACCGTCTTTAAGAATCGGAATCACCTCAGCCTCTTTCCAATTGTCAGGAAATGTGCTAGTAAGGATGGAACAATTGATGATGTCAGTAAAAGGGCCCAATATGACAGGGAGACAGTCTTTTAGTACACGGGCGCTGATCTTGTCCGGTCCCGGAGATTTCTTCATTGGGAGAGATGTTACAATTCGGCGAACCTCTTCACGTGACACTGTCCTTAAATTGAATAATTCCATAGAGGTAGTATCTATGCTAGTTTCGGATGAAAAATCTCGGACTATGATGTTATGTTCTTTCCTCAAGCGCTGTACTGCGTCAGCGGCCTTTAAGCCGACTTTAGCAAAAAACTGATTGAATTCGTTGGTTAAGACTGTCACATCCTTTGAAAAGGCTGGTCTCTGTTTATCTTTGGAGGGGATGGCGCGATTAATAATTTTCCGGAGTGAGCCAGAGTTGTTTTTATTAGCTGTGACCTCTTCAAAGGTGTGATCTCTTTCAGCTTCTTGTAGCTTTTTCTTGACCAAGTCACGAGAATGTTTGAAATTTATTCACTCGGTGTCTTGGCGCGACTGTATGAATTGCTTTAGGAGGAGATCTCGCGATCTAATAAGATCCTTGATTTCCTGGTTCACAAAAGGGCACGGTCTACTCCGAAGTTTAATTTGTTTCACGGGAGCGTGTAAGCTCAGGACAGACTGCAAAGTGTCATTTAAAATATTGAGCTTAGAGTCTATATCGGTTTGATCGAAGATAGTGAGCAGGGAATCCGTTTCCTTAGCTAGATCCGTGACAAAGAGATCCGCATTATACTTCTTGTAACTTAGAGTGGTAATGTACTGAGGGGTAATCTTGGGTTTCTTAACCTTGAGCTTGACAAATATGGAGTCTTATTGGCTTCAGTTAATAACTTGTTAAGTTTGTTATCCTTGTTGCTGAGGGGCAGCGTTAAAAGCCTTGTCACATATGTCCTCGCAATATGAAATAATGGTCGG